CAAAATTACAATTTTTTTTTTTAATCCTTTTATGTCATAGAAGTTTTGGGATAATTATCCAAAAGAAAGCGTTACATAAAAATGAAAGAATAAAGTCCATTTAACTTAGGTATCAGAAAAATATATTTAAACCTCGCATTCAAGACCATTATATTAATTAAATATATATATTGCATTTCTAAAACTTCGAAAAATAGTACTTTGGAGAAGATGAAGAACCTCAGAGTTTTTAAAGATTGATTAAAAATTATTAAATAATAAAAAATAATTTTGCCAATGGACAAAGAAATCGAAATCATTAAATGATTATAAAATATATTTAACTATTTAATTCAAAAATATGATTTATTTAAATATATGTTTTGGATATTTTATATTATAGGATTAGTCTAATCAACGTGTTCATACAGCAATTTTGATTAATTCTAATTAAGTAGTGACAGCTTTTATCAAGAATAGAATTATGTAAGAGGAAATCCCTATGCATTTGGTGTATGGACACAATATGCTCCTCTTAGAAAAAATTTCTTTGCACACAAATTAAAACCATATCTTGATTCAACACGTAGTCTTGATGGGTTTCATATTCTTAATTTTCAAAGCGGAGGAAGCATACAAACATTGTTCTATTAATAGCCACTTTATGTTACAGGAAACCCAACATTAGTCATTTTATAAAATACATAGTCTGGGGTCTTGTCCTCTAAGATTCAGGAGGGACTCTATTATTATGAGGGATATTGGGTTTTTACCTATTTTAGTTTTAACTATGATAACAAATACAATTTTGCATCATATAATACAGGGGATGATCGTTTTTAAAATTTTTTGGTCACAAATAGAAAATTGAAAACATAAACAACCAATGCTAAATTAGAACATGGAGGTTAAGGCTTATATGTCATAGGTACTAGTAGTTACAATCTAAATTTATTTTTGGGAAGGATTTCTATAATTACTACATTTGAAAGCTCAATTACTTTTTTCATCAATACAGATAAGGTTAAATTTAAATAATTTATTTAATAATGCTAAGTTCCTTCAGCATGTTAAAATTCTGTGGAATTATATTTCTTTAATGAAACCTATAATAAGCTTAACTATTCTGTTGGCAGTTATCAAGTTGATCTTCCAGGATAAATCTATGGGTTAGGATTTTGGATGAAGAGAGATTCTTAAAAAATCAACTCACAAAGAGAAAACTTAATATCTTTTGGAGGTAATTTTGCAACTTTAGATCGATTTTACTAATTAGCATTGTATTGGTAAATGATAGATCATGATGTGATTTTAATGCACAGTCTAGATCTTTATTATTTAATACCTATAGAAAAGCCAACAATCAATCGAAGTTATACTGCAGAATTATATTTTAGTTAACCTAAAAAAAACTTCGAATAATGGAGCTATTTTTAATATTTTTTTAAGAAGGTTGGACAAACTGAAATTGTATAACTTTTTCTGTTTTAATCCTGCTGTGACATTAGGGACCTATATTATATTATGGATTATCCTTAGTTTCAATAATATTCTAATTATCAGGCCACAATAACGTTATTCACAGAATAGAAAGATGTAAAAATACTGCCTTTTGAAGGTTTGATTTCAAATTTAAGATTTAATTACTGTTACTCTATAGATTATGATTTCGAAATGTATTCAGACATAAGTATATATAATAATATAATGATAGATTGCAATTTACAATGTCAAACTTGCACAGGGCCTACCAAATATGATTGTACTTCCTGTTATGATGAATAAAATAGATATTTGTAAACTGATCTTCATTACTGTTATTGCAAAACAAATTATGAGGAAGCAGGTGGTTTAATATGTCAATGTAATTTATTTAAATAATTTAGAAACCTCTTTAAGTTCTATTTCCTAATAAATAGAGTTGTATAAAGAGTTCAATATAATTGAAGTATAGAACGATTATAAGTGTAGTTATGGCTACTTTGAAGTATGGAAGGATTTGAAATTCTTGGGATGCATTAAATGGTATTTATACAGTTAATTTGAAGTCCCTATTTTGGTCAAGGTCATAATTCAGTAAATTGCATAAACTGTATACTCAATTCTCACAATTGGTATTTAAACCCAATTTGTGATATTGATTACAGAACTGATGACTCTGTATTCTATTATGATGAATAATTAGATTATTAATCCTAAGAAATATTTATAATCGATTTTGATTTGATGATTTATAGAATTGTGTCCTGGATGTGATTATATTACTGAAACTGAATATTCACAATCCATTATTGTGAACGTGAATGGATTAACTACCTATTATCAATGCAAATAGTATTTATACCCTAAAGATAATTCTTGCAAATAATGTGAAATGAATTGTATTAATTGCAAAGATGCAGAAAATTGTATAGAGTGTAATTAAGGGTTTTATATAAAAAATGATCATTGTTATCAATGTCCTTAAGGGTGCTTGTCGTGTATTTTGGATGCAGAATTAGAGTAATTAAAATGTTTACATTGTTAACAAGGCTACTCTTTAGTTAATGATAATTGTTAAAAATGTGGTGATCTTTGTTAAATTTGTTAAAAGAAATTGAACAAAAATACTGGTAAAGAATATATGAAGTGTTTAAAATGTAATTATAATGCTTATATATCTCTTGATGGAGAAAGCTGTTACTTTAATAATTTAGATCATTGTATATATCCTTTTCAATTTTCTACTTTGTCTATTGATATCAATACTATATATTTTGATTTTCAGCCTTAAGAATCTTAATATATTAAAACTGGTTGTACATACTGCTCATCTGTATCCATATTGGATATCGATAATGGTTTGTATACTTGTACTCCTTTAGATATTGATTCAATTAAGGGTGGATGTTAATAATTATTTATGATAAATGGTCTTAGTATTTGCTTTCTTGGCATCGATAACTTGATGCTAATTGGAACTGGATATTGCAGTTAAATGATTCCACACTGTCTATTTTGTAACCTGAATAATTGGGAATCTAATTATATTTGTTATTTATGTGAAGACGGTTATTATAATGATTATTTTGCAAGTTTTTGCAAGCCGTGCAATCCAGAATGTGCTACTTGCATTTAGGTGGATTCTTCTAAAATATAAAAGCATTAAGTTATATTATTTTTCTTATCTATATCAATTGAAAGACCATAATACCGTTTGGCTACTCAAAACCCTAATAAAAATGAAGCTGAGATTATATGTACTACCTGTTCTGATGGGTATATTAAACATTTTGATAAATGTATCTAAAAATGTCCTGATAATTGTAAGGAATGCAAAATTATTGATGATTAATAAGTATGTCTTTCTTGCATTTAATTTAATGATTCACATTACCATGTTTATAATGGAAGATGCATTTAATGTCCTTAAAACTGTAATATATGTCATCCAAGAACTGGTAATGAAAAATTAATGACCAATCCATATTTTAACAATAAAGATTTAGAATACTTTTCTCATAAATGCATAGCACCATTATCTAGTGACTTATTTTACGATTAGGATATTCAATAATTTATTAAATGTGATAATGGTAATGAATGCTAAAAAGAAATTGTAATTCAAATTTAAATTTATTGTAACTAAATAGATTTAGAAAACTATCTCAACTAATTAAATGAAGAATAAATGCTAATTCAGAGAAAATTTCATATTCTTTTGGAAAATTTTGATTTGTCATTATTTGAATATTATGACTATTTTCTCTATCTTAATCAGAATTTCGTTAAGATAGTTACTTATTAACTTACAATTGCAGACAACTAACTATGTTTATTAAATGCGGAACTTAAAATCTAATCACATTTATAAAGTTATATTTTTAATTTGATTGAATTAAACGTTATTATAAATGGATCTGGAAGTACTATCTAATTGAATAATCACTTATCATTTTCAAACTTTACACACATAAAAATTAAAAACCTTGATCTTAAAATATAGAATGGGCAGATATCAATGGACAATATCATTAGGTATACTGTAGAGTTTGAAACAATAAAAATCTATCAAGATTAAACTGGTATATCATCATAAGATTATTTAATTTAAATTAGGGAATCCTCTGAGATTTATATTTCAAATATATTAATATAAGATATTAATATTCTATTATAAAATGGCTTATTTGAAATAACGAATCAAAAATTTGATGTTAAATTAGTAGCAATAGATCTAATCATAAATCATATTAAAATTATGAATACATCAATTATCAATTATAACACATCTCAAAAAGTAGAAACTAAAATATCAAATTTGCATATTTTGAATTCCTAATTTATAAATATTGTTGTTTTGGAGTTTTTATATTAAACTGAAATTTTAAGGATAGATAATTTTATTTTTGAAAATTCAATTCTATTAAACACCACAAATTTCTTTAATTTTGAGTAAATTTACAAAGTTGAATTAAATGGATTCTCAATTTTAGATTCAACATTGTAAAATTCAAATTTTATATCAAGCTCTAAAATTTTGTTATTGATAGAATTCAATTTATAAAAACTCTCATTTTTAGGATAATCCACAATACTAATTAATCAAGACTAGTTATCTCTTGAATTAATTTAAATTAAAAATGGTAAGATCATTGATAATATTTATTCAAACAAAAATGCTTTAATCCTATTATTAAATTCAGATTCTGTATATCTTAATAATATAGAATTTATCAACAATGCTATTAATATTGATAATTAAAAAGATTCTCTTGTTAAGAACATTGAATTGTCCATAATCAATATTGAATCTAATACTGTTATATTTGATACTTTGATCATTCAAAGAGGAATAGGCTATACTGAATTCACTATTAAAAATGCAAATACATTTAAATTTATGAACTCTGTAATAAAATTACACTAAAAATATTATTTTAAGAGTCTATTTAATAATTAAGAATGTAATATTCAACCATTCAATTAGTTCATGTACAATACCCTTATGAATTTATAAAATAGCTAATTTATTTATGTTTCAAATACAAATATCACTGATATTATATTATATGATTCAGTTTTATTTGAAATTCAAATGCTTTCATAAATTAGCTCATAATTTGTATTTATCGAATGCAATTTTTCCTCTAACATTTTACATCAAGTAAATAAATATGAAAAAGTATCTTTAATATCAATTAATACTAATTATTATCTGAGTTTGAATATAACAAGAGTTATATTCTAGTAGAATTTATTAAACTTATTAAAAGAAAGCAATCCTTAAAAACAAAGCCTGATTTTATTAGTGGAAGCACATTAAGCCAAAAGTAAAATAAGTAATTGCTTAATTCAAAACAATATGATTTTGAATGGTCAAGGATCACTTATGTATATTGACTCTGACTAAATTATTTTAGAAAACACAAAGTTTTTTCAGAATTCAGCATTTGTCTATGATACTATAAAGCAATTCCTCAGATGGGGTTTACCAGAAGATATCTTTTTTAAAAGACTTATAGAAATTATATATTAGTTCTAGCAGAGGAGGAAATGGAAATTTTTAAGGCCGATAAATTGTATTGAACATGATTTTATTATAAGATTCTATCTCAATCTAAGGTGCTGCATTTGTAATGAAAATGATTGAAGATGGAAACATACAGATTTAAAATTCACACTTTGAAAATTTACAAGCTGAATTAATAGAATCTTCATAAGGAGGAGCTTTTCATATCTAATCTTAATCATTATATTTAAGAATTGATGTTATTAATACAATATTTCTGGATATTTCCTCCAGAAAGGGTGGTAGTATATTTTATATTATACCTTCAACAAAATTATTTTAGATCTCCTTACTTAACTCCACATTTGAAAACATTTTTTCAATTTAAGGAGGCTTAATATACATAGAAAAATCTATCCATGAATTACAAGTTATTTAGATGAATTAATGTAATTTATCTTAAAGATTGGATTCATTTTATGCATTCATCAATTCTTTGCAGGATCTATCAAATGATGAATTCACAACTTTGACATAAGAATATTCACTGATCCATTGCTATGATTGTTAATTTAAAACAATAGATTTATATGTAACAAATTATCTTCCTATACCCTTATTCTAATTATATGGAAGTGCAAACCTCAAGAATATTTCAATACAAAATATTATTTATTCGAATCAATTAATGCTATTTTCTCCAGTAAGATAGTCTGACGAAATAATTCTTCAAAATGTAGAGTTTTACAACTGTACTTAAATATAAATTAGTGAAGACGATATTCCCTAAGAAGTCTATGCAAAAAGTTTAAATAATAGTGTAATAACATCTTGTAAAGAAAATTTAATAGACGCTCCTTTAATTATTATAAGTTTTAATGAAAGTTACTATAATATTAATCAAATAACATTTTTGTAAACGTTATTATCTTAGATATAATAATTAACAGTGACTATGATATCATTTTAATTTACAGAATAATATCAATATCAAAAAATACAACTTTCTGATATAATTCTCTAAAATAACAAGTGCAGCAAGTGCTCAAATGGTCTATTGAGTTTTGATATTAAAAACAAACCATCCCTAATTATTTAAAAAATGGCTATATCTAATTCATATTGTGGGAAAAATGGTTGCATTTCATTCATTTCATAAGATAACCGTATTCTTTAAAGTTATGATTTTAATAGCTCTTTAGCTAATTCTGCAATTAGAATACAATATTTGTAATGCATCAACAATTAAGCTTAATACGGAGGTTGTTTGTTTATCTAAAATTAAGTCATTTCAATTATAGAAAGTTTGATATCTGGTAATAATGCAATATATGGAGGGGCCATTTTTACAAAAGGGATTAATTTAACATTAATTTCAGAGAATTTAGTTATTACAAATAATTCAGCTTAATTTGGAAGTGGAATCTATAGTGAAGGCAACTTGAATAAAAAAATTAATGGAATGAAGCTTATTGATAATTCTGGATTGAATCAAATTAATGAACAACCTTAATAACTCTATTTGCAAATCTTTTAAGGCTAAATAATATAACCTAAAATTGTGAAAAATTTAAAAAATGGCCAAATTTCTTAAATTATTGGCCAAGATGGATAAAATTCAATTATTCATATCCCTACTGGAATGCCATTATCAGAATACAAAAAATTTGAAATAGAAAAGAATAGTTACAATTAAAAAACTATGCAAATGAGATTATATGCAGTTAATTCATAATTAGAAATAGTTAGAAATCTTACAAATACCTATTGTGAATTACAAATAAATAATGTAAACAGTAGATAAGAACAAAATTTATCTTTAAATAAAAATAAAATTATCTTTAATTAATCAACATTTTCATATAATTTAGATGATTTAATCTTTTACATACCTTCAGATTCAAATCAAACCTTTGAACTTACTATTAAATGTAATAGTATTTATATTCCAATAATAAACAATATAAACCATATAATAGAGGGGTAGAATTATATTTTTAAATTAGATTTCATTAAAATTATGTTTTGAGTTTAATACTTAAGCCAAATGAATGTTAAATGGGAGAATACAGATAATCAAAAGAGGATTATTGTCACTAATGCATTGTAGATTAGAAATAATACTCTGTAATTGTAGGAGCTACTAGTTGCCAAACTGCTGATGATCAAAAGATTTAGGAAATAACCCAAGCTTAAATATTCCTAAAAAAGGTATTCTAATCATCTTATTATATATAGGGTTACTGGAGAATGAAAGTGACTACTTCAACTATAGACTTGTGTTTAAATAATCAGCAAAATTGTATTGGAGGATGGGGAGTTGGAAATGATCTATGCTAATAGGGTTATATAGGAGCTCTTTGTGAATAGTGTGATTATTATAATGACAGAGGAGGAGGAAATTACTAAAGAGAGGGTTATTATGAGTGCTAAATTTGCTAAAATGATACCAAATAATAGCTATTTAATTTATTGATCACAATTTTAATGTAAAAATGTTATTAATTTAAGATTTGCATGCCTACTTCTAATAATTAATTATTTGTCTAATAAAAGACTTTAATTTATTCGTTTACATATTAACCAGTTTAACGAATCTTTCAGATAAATTATTTTTAAGTAAAAGGAAGGACTAGTGGGTTAGAGCATAAAAATTGTATTGTTCTATTTTTAAATTATCAGTTTAACATAAGAATTATCCTATGTATATTCTAATTAAGTCTAATAATTAATTCATTTTCTCGGAGATCCTTTTACATTATTAATAATATTTAAAGAATGTTAATTATTAAACTAAGCAGTTAGTGTAATTTACTTATAAATCTTATAAAATTTTATATTTTTGCTGATATTGATGACTATTTATGTTTGTTTTTGTTTTGCTAAGACCTTTATCTCAAAATAAAGAATCACAAAGATGGAATTATTTAATTTAATATATCTAATATATATCTTCTTTTTTGGAAGTTTTATACGATCCATGATTCAACTTATAGCTTTTAGAGATATTTAAGATGTGTATTGGATTTACAAAAATATTTCATATGATTACACAAATACAAATCATCTTAAATTAGTATTTTTTTTATTTTTACCTATTGTGATATGCCTGGGAATTGTTTTACCTTATTTATTGCTACGAAAGTCAAATTCAGTCTTATTTTTATCAAAGCGAATCCCTTTTAAAGACTTTGGATTTTAGTTTTCATCATACTCAAACAAACATCAACATTGGGAATTTTATAAATTTTTACTGATAAATGGATTGATATGCTTAATCATCATGATTGATGCAAATGCTACTATAAAAGGAGCGTTATCTTATTTTCTACTAATCATTTATACTAAACTTAGTTCAAACAATAATATCTATTATCATAAGTAAATGAATAGATTCGAATGTTAATTAAATATTATTTGTTTCATAATCTTAATCTCATGCACACTATTTTCAATATAGGAAAACTAGGATTCCACATTTAAAAATATAATTTTGATCTTCATCAATTCTATATTTATTTTGAGTGGAGTATTTATGATCTTACATTTATGGAAATTGAATTCTTCATATATAAGCAGGATGTTTTGTAAAGGATTCGAAAGATTAGGGCAATTTAATCAGATATTTACTAATTATAACATTTTTTAAGCACACTCAAACGGATCCATAAAATTAAGAAATAAGCGTTTTGAAATGTTAATAGCATTTTTAAAACAAAAAAGCAAAAAATAACTATTAATTAAAAAAGAATATTAAAGCACTCAAGAATAGAGTGAAAAAATTTAATGAGATTGAATTAAAAATTTAAATATCAAAATGATTAGGATATATTATAATAATTTTTATTTTATATCATGATTGATTTCTACATTTGGACAGCCAGCATCATCTTGATAGGATTAATTAGACCTACTACCCAGTGTGATTCAAAAACATTGCAAGGATGCCTTCTAGGTGAAACAACCGAGACAACTAAAATATCACTCTTAGATTATTCAGCCTATGGATATGGCTTTTGGTTCTAATATTTAGCCATGAGCTTTATTCTTAGTGATGATTTAGCAAAATTTCCTAATCTTGAAGGGTTTCTATTAATAAGGGAGATAAATCCTGATACTTCTAAGTATAGGGTGTTTTTGTATTAGGATTGGAAAAACAACAATGCTAATTAGGAAAAATATTTATTTTTATAATATGAATCAAATAGCTAAATGATCCAATTAGCAAAATTCATATTTGACTCATTTGATTTTTAAGGCAAATGGATTCATATATTTGTTTCATATTAATTTCCTTATTAAAGATAAATAATTATGTATGATATTCTGAATGATAATTGTCAAATCATAAACTATTAATCAAGTACTAATTTAGAATTGAAGGAGACAATAATTACTCAAGGAGGAGAATTTAAATTATAATTAAATTAAAATGATGAATCAAAACAATTTGCTTAATATCCTGGCAGAATTTCAAAAGCAGAGTATAATTTCGATAAAAATAATGTAGTTTTTAACACAGTTAAAGAATTTAAAAATTTTATTGAATAAAAATTTATACCTTAACCATTTTGTTAGACTTCAACTTATGATACGTCTTTAATATCAAATTATAAATACAAATTTGGATTGATTTAACTTGAATCTTGGGTTAGAATTGATTATGTTTTTGTACTATTATTTTTTATCATAGAATGTGAACTTTTCTGCCAGCCTTTTTGGAGTTGAAGTATTATCTGATATTGATCTGGAAGGCTATTAAAAGTTAGTTGATTTATAGTATTGCCTTATTTAAGCATGGAAATCTGATTTAGCAAACGGAGTGTATTTCTAATCCCTCAATTAGATAGATCCAGAATTTCACTATTATGAGGATCAATTTCTAGGTGTTAGCGATGTTGTTTTCCATACTTTAAAATAAGACTTAAAATAATGGCATTATGTTTCTATACTTTATGGTTTTGATAATTCATATGTGCCAGTTTCAAATTTGAAAATGTGGTTCCTTGATGGGGAGGTCTATGATGTTCAATATCATAATAAATCTTTTCTTTTCTAAGAAAGTCGCATAAAAATGAGAAGCGCATTTCTTATCAATTTAGCAGTTAATGGGATTTAGATATTAGCAGAGAGTAGTAAGATAACTGTTTGCTTACCAGAGTCATTTGATCTTATGAAAAGTAAGTTTTTTTTGATTAATAAAGAATGTCACTTTAGTTGTTTAGATTGTAATGGTCCATATCTTAATTAATGCATAAATTGTGATTAGAGCTCTAATAGATATCTAGAAAATAGTTATTGCAAATGTACTCTTGGCTATATTGAAAATAATCTTGGAAATTGCATATGTAATATAAATATCTTAAATTAGAATTCTTGGATTTCTATCCCACTTCAATATAAGATTATAATGCAAAGAATTAAACTCTATCTTAATTTGGTTATTTTCCAATTAAAGAAGTCGATAATCAAATAATTTATATACGTTGTCCGTAATTTAATGAAATTTAATTGGAAAAGATAAGTTGCATAGAATGTTTGACTTAACCCGAATCCTTTGCTAAACTATTGAAATGTGAATCCGATTATGTATTTAATAGTTATGGTCAATATGAATTAATTTAGAGAGAAGATAAAGATATTGAAATATATTTTCTTGATACGTCAACATCTTCTCTTACATTGTGTATTGGATGCAAATCTTTTTGTAATTAAAATATTGATTCAAATTGTCATTTTAATTCTTTGTTACAGGTATATATTTAATGCCAATCTCAATTCTATTATGAAAATGGAGAATGTGTAGTGTGTAATTCAAATTGTAAGACATGTGAAGATTTTTCTATTTGCACATCTTGTTATGATAAAATGACTTTGAATCCTAATAATAATGAATGTCTTGAATGTCCAAAAGATTGTTTAGAATGTGAATATAATTCTGGTGTTCAATGCATTAAATGCCTAGGATAATATTCAGTATTTTAAGGATAATGTTACCCTTGTAGTAAATATTGCTTAGAATGTATATATGTTTAAAATCCTAAAGATGGATAGTATTATAATAGATGCAATAATTGCATAGATAATTCAAAATATTATTTATCAATCAATGCAGTTGATTGTATTCAAAATCTAGATCTTAATTGTATATATGCGATCTAATTTCATAAATCCTGGTTTATGAGAGATAGAGTAAACACTATATTTTACATGTATGAAAGCGGAGATTTTAATTCTAATTAACTTATTAATTATTGTGCTTTGTGTGCTGAAGGATATGCCTCATTACTCTCAGGATAATGTGTTAGAATAGATTCAATTCCTGATAATATTCAAAATAAACAATATTGCATCCAAATGTACTAAATGGAGGTGTATCAATCTTTGCAATTAAACCAATTATAGTACTTATGTATGGTTTACACAAAAGAATTTAAATAAATTGTTTCAGTTTCAAATGGTTGTGAAAATCTCTTGTTTTAATGTGCTTACTGTTTCAATAATATATGTTTGTAATGCTATCCTGGATATTATAGTGAATTAGTTTCTGGATAGTGCGTAGCATGTCCATCAGAGCCAAATTGTTATCGATGTGAATAGCGATCAAAGTAATGGAAGAATGGATGGAAAATTTGGTATGCTATGGTTCATTATTTATTGAAACGTAGAAGCTTTTAAGGTGATGTGTTCGGAAATGAACCATATGATAAATTAGAGGTTGTTTGTAAGACTTGCACAGTAGATTTTGAATTTTACTAAGATAAATGTATCAAGAAATGTGCAGATAATTGTGAGCTCTGCATAAAAAGTAATGGATAAAATAAATGTGTTAAATGTAAGATGTATGAAGGTCGACGTCTGTCTTTATATGATGGCGAATGCATTGATTGTCCAAGGTATTGTCAGATTTGTAAACCTAAAACTAATTCTTAATTATTAAGTGCTAATCCATATTTCTCGAATTCTGATATCAAATCTTCAACACATACTTGTTTAATGTTATAAACGGGATTAAGCTTTTAAGATTATTATTATGATACGAAATTTTAATAATTCTTCAAGCTAAGCGAAACTGGAACAGATCCTAATTCAATTACATTAAAATTCAACCTTTATTGTAGCTCAGAGCTCTTTAATTAACATTTAGATTTGGCCTAGGACAAATAGCATTTTCTACAGTAAAATGTTAAAATTGATGAATTAATAACAAATAATTAATCTTAAAGCAACTTTGGAAGAATAGAAAATCTAAATTTGTATACATATCTCAGCATATAACAGATTTAAGAAGTTGAGTTATAATTTAGCTTCATTTAGGATTGTTCTATAAAGCTTCACTCTTATATTTTCACTACTTTAATTTAAAACATCTATTTTGTCACTTCAGCTAAAATTAAATTAATTGGCAATGGTTACACATTATTCCTTAACTCAAATCTAGAAGTATTAAATTTCGAATCTATTTCAATATAAAATCTAATAATTTAGCTGTAATCAACTGTGAATATCCATTTATAATCCTTAAGTGCTTTGAAAGTACAATTTAATTCAGTAGTTATACAATAATATTAAGAAGATTTAAATCCAATAGCATTTAATATTGTATCCACAAATCTCTAAGAATTATGGATTCAAGACTTATCTCTACAGAATCTAAATTTATAATCTGTAGCTAGTTTTTTTTACTTCGAATATACAGTTTAGTAACAATATATTGACATTAATATTGATCAATTTACTATTAAAAATTCAATGATACACAATTCAAATATTATCTTACTTGATAATTACTTTTAAAAAACAACAAATTGCTAATTTAATAACATTCTAATCGTAAATTCCGATCTTAATTTAAGCTAATTTATGAAAATTCAAAATAATTAATAATTAGTTATGTAAGGATCTATATCATAAATATCAATCGTTTCATCCTTTTTATAAGATATTCAACCTTTATTCTAGACTTTTTGCTTTAAAAGTTTAAATATAAGCGGAATCTCTTTAACAAATTCAACATTCTAAAATTTTATTTTATTTTAAACAACTAATGAATAAATTAATAAGGATTATTTAATTAAGTTTTGTAATTTAAAGAATAGCTCAATTATTAATTTTGTTTAAGACTATTAATTTCAATCGATTATATTTCAGAATATTGAAGTTAATTAAGTATATCATGACGATAAAACAATTCTTATAAATTTAGTATCAAATGACTTTACTAGCACAATTAAGATGTCAAATATTATTTTAGATACAATCACTATTCTTGATAATATATAATTGGTTTAAAATTTACAGTCAATTATGTCAATAATTATTATCTAATCCAACTTTATTGAAATATCTGATATTAAAATCATTAGATCAACTGGCATTACAGAATTTTTATTAACTTCAGCTATGAACTTAGTACTTTCAAATTTTACTATTACATTAAACCCAAAGTACTTCTATAAAAGCATAATCACAGATGAATAATGTTTATAACTTAATACATATTCTAAATATACAACCACTTTAATTGTTTAGAAGGCATAAAATATTAGAATATAGAACTTTTATATATCTAATCTTATTCTTTTGGATTTCCCTATGATTTATATAATCTCGATTGCGACCTAAATTATTAAAAGATCAGAATCTGTTGTTATTGATTCCATGAATTTAGATAATTGCATCATCTAAAAGAGTTAGACTATTAATTAGATATCTGGAATTCTTATATAATCAGAATAATAATAAGATATCCAAATTCTAAATTCTAAATTTAATAATAACATTTACTATTCATACTATAAAGAATCTGAGTCTGACTCAGCTTTAATATTCTATATAATTGCATAAAATTCGAAAATATTGTTGATCAATTGCTAGTTTAAACAAAATTATGTCTCTTAAAGTGAAAATAGTTTGTTATATATAAATGCAGAATAAATTAATGTAATTGATTCATCTTTTTTTTCAACTAATTACATCTTTGATAGCTTTTTGAAGCACATAAATTGGAAATATCAACCTTATACTTTAACATTAGAATAAATCAAAAATTAATTTTAAGTATAATCCGCAAGTGGAAATGGTTAACTAATATCTTCCTCAGTTTAATTTAGAAACATAAATATTGAAGGTAGTTTTTCAACTTCTGCAGGATGTTTTAAAATTACATTAGAAAATGAAGGGTAGTTGCTTGTCAAAAATTCTGTATTTAAAAATATCTACACTAAAATATCTGAAGAATAATCATTTGGTGGTTGTCTTTATGTTATTGATAGAAGCATTAATATCTAAATTGATATATTAGATTCTATTTATGATACAATTATTGGAACTGCTGAAGGTGGTGTTATTTATCTGAAGCCAATAGCATTATAAGTTAACTTCAACTTCACTAATGTGACATTTTAAGATGTCTTTTCAAATGATGGTAATATTGCCAAACTTAATTTCCTAAGCTATAATCAATTACTCTATATGTAGAATTGCAGAATTTTATAAACTATTGAAGGTTATTCAAAATTTAGATCTTTGTTTAGTTCATTTCAGAAATATGAAACTACCATGATTTCGATATAGTAAGGATATCTTATTTTAAGAGATATATTCGTTTAATTATATTTAAATATATTCTTATAGTTGAATTACCAAAGCAGAATCAGTTTGACATCAATCGAGATAGACTATTCTTATTATTATCAGAATTCTATAATGTAAATTAGCTTTTCAGCAGGTATTATAATAATATTATATTTAATAGATTAACAATGCAAAATTGAAATTACAGGTCTCAAAATCAAAAACTTTAAATGGTACAAAGATGATCCAAAATTGGTAGCAATCTAAATTAGGTAAGTAATAGATGAACAATAAAAATTGTCATAAGACTGTAGAAATGAATAAATATTAGGATTGAAAAATTAGACATATGAATTAATAAATTTATCAGATTTTATAGCTGAACCCTAAAATTAGATTTAAAATCTAGTTTAAATAACAAATGTAAAAAATAAAGATTCAATATCAATTAAATCGAGCTAGTTTTCAAATAATTAGTGTTTATTATGCTTATCAGGGCTTATTTTTGTTAAATTAATTGAGTTTTAATCAGACAATATTATTATATCAAATATATGGTTGATGGATAATTAATGTGGTGAAAATGGATGTTTATGCATTGTGTAAGAGTTTCTAAGTTAAGATCAAAAGAAAATGTCTACGTTAACATTAGACACTATGTTTTGTTATAGAAATTAAGCAAAGAAAGGAGGATGCATAGTCAGCCAATAGGTTGGTCTTAAAATAAAAAATAGTATTTTCAGTGAAAATCTAGCAGTTGAATAAGGAGGAAGTATTTATTATGATGGAGAAGTTACAAATCTATTATTATAGAATAACCTTATCGTGTCAAACACAGCATAAGAAGGAGGTGCAATATATCTAGGCAACCAAAGTTTGCCAGAATTAAATAAAACTTTAAACTACTTCAATAATAATACTGCATATGGATATGGTAACATTAGTTCATCTCACTCAACTTAACTTACAGTAATGTACAAAAATTTATAATTTTCAACTTTAAATTCTTTGAACAATGGGAGGATAAATGCTTACTTAACTAATTAATCAAATTCCTCATAAATATTAGTCTTAAAATTGCCGAGTGGCTAATAAATTTAAACATATTAGTATTTTAATATATAGAAATAGAAATACGAGCATTAACATTTAAAATTTAGAATTTTAGCTTTAAATGCCTATCATGAATAACAATTTCATCTTAATAATAGTGAATGTTTAATTGAAAGTGGGCACCAGTAAGGTTCCTAAGAAACCGTTTTTACAAATAATTATACAAATTATAATCGAAAAGTTTTTGATTAAGAAACATAAGATTATAATTTAGATGATTTAATTATTTATTACGGAACTGAGAATGATTAATCTAAACTAATCTTATAAATAAGTTGTAATAGTGTATAAATCCCAAAGTATGAAGATACTTTTCCTCATTAGATTATGGATTACAATTCTAAATATTAATTAATTTTATACATTCAAACATATCCATGTTAAATAGGAGAATATAAGAATCTAACCGATAATGCTTGTTATTTATGTGACATTAACAAGAAATAATATTCAGTAACTATCAATGCAACAACTTGTTAATTTATGGATGAAGATACAATAGCATCAATAACACCTGCTTAACTTTAATTAAAATCTGGATATTGGAGACCATATATAAATAGTGAAATTATTGAATATTGCTAAAATAAAATTGAGAACTGTTTAGGTGGATGGAAATAAGGAGATGAGACTTGTGAAATTGGCTAATTGGGAGCTTGTTGTGAAGCTTGTGATTAATACAATATTAGAGGAAATGGTTAATATAGTCTTAAAAAATTATATTAATGTTAAAAGTGTGACGATTTGGATAAACAAATTATTTATATCATATTGATAACCTTATGGTATTTTATATTTATTTATTTAGGAATTTACTTTCAATCTATTTATCAACAAATGGAGTTGAGAAATTGATATTAGAATTATAGAAAAACAAAGTAGGAACAAGATAATTAATAATTAACAATAATAAACAAACTGGCCCAATAATGAAAATGTTTACAAACTATTTACAAATTTTGGCTATCATAATAAATTTTAATGTTGAAATTCCATAAGCATTTAAGGATTATTATAATATTACTGGGAACTCTTAAACAATGTTATTAGTAACCACAGATTGCTTTTTAGCTTAGAATTTTTAAGAGGGACTCATATATGTGAAAATAATATATAGTATTATTTGTCCACTGTTTTATGGATGGATCTACTTATCTATATACTTCTTATTGAAATCCTTAAAGAAGATTGTTTATAATGAAGTAATACCAAAAACTTGTGTCTTATATTTGTTTTGCTATTTCTAAATATAGGTGATATAATTATTGATATCTTCATTATCATTTAGAACATTATCAGACATAAAATGGATACAGGGGGATTTGGCTTATTAATTTGATACATCGCTTCATTAATAATGGATTCCTTATCTTATCGTACTAGCAATCATTATTGGAGCTACAGTACCAGGAATATTTATGATATACTTAGCGAAATATAGAAATTCGCTTTAAAAATATGATGTCAGAAGATTATTGGGATATTTATATTTAGAATACTAACATAATGCTTATTATTGGGAAATAATTAGGATTGTAAGTAGGGAATTAATAATGATTGCTATTACATTTTACCAAGATAATATGATTATTAAATGCACGCTTTTATTTATTGTATTACTCGCCTATTATTTTATAAACTTAATGGTTTTACCTTTTCAGACAAAATCTTTAAATTAATTAGAATAAATGAGCACTTTGTTATGTACTTTTACATTATTTGAAGTTCTTTCATTATCATTAACAAGTAGTTTTTCTACTATTGCCATATTATTCATAATTATAACAAATATTTATTTGTCTATTACCTTTATTTAGAGTTTAATACATGGGTATTTATAGTCTATGGAGGAATTAATAGACAAGATCAAGGATATCATTAGAGAGAACCTGAAATCAAAATTCAAAGATAACCGATTATTGGATAGTTGGCTTGTAAATAAAGGCTAGAGGAGAAAGTTAATTATTGAGAGATTTAAAAAAATAAAGAAACATCTTTCTGTAGTGAGATCAAAACTTAGTAGTATAGAAAGGTAGAAATGTAATTTATTAGATTTTTATCTGTTTTAGTTTCACAAAATCCATTATCTAGTGGTTTGCCAGACCCAAGAGATTTCACTTTAACATTGGTGAGATAATAATAGATTTTATTTACAAGTAGCGACTACAACACTATCAACGACCCTTTGACTAATTTGATAAATAAAAAGAAATCAGAAGAATGAAATTAATTTTTAAAAATTAAAAATATATAGTATAATTAATAAAATATTACTCATTTTTCCAAAAAATCAAATACAATTTATAAAGATTATTTCAAATTATTTTGGCAATCAAAATATGTCGAAAAGCAGTTTATTTGAGTTTCAAAATGTTTATAAGTAGGTATTAAATTAATGCATTCTTCGACAAAATATTATTAACATATTCGGTTTATATGTCTATTATTAAAGTTAAAAATGAATTTCAATCTAAATGTTGAGTCTCTTGCATATGTGAACTAATCGACCAGACAATCGTAATGTTATAGACAACAACTTGTCAAAAGAATTCTTTGGAGGTAGGTTACGATTGGTTTTGAGGGAAACATTCAATTCAAAATTTTTTTATGCTGCCATAAAATTTATTGTCAAATTGAGAATAGCGGAAGATCAATAGCTACTTTGATATATCAAGCATAGTTATTAAAAAATTGAGGACAAGGCCTCCAATTATTTATTTTAGCAATCAAAAAGACGAGTAAATTAAAACGGACTTTCAACTAGTATATCAAGAGTCTCTTATTTTACAATTTTTTAGTGGTTAGAGGTATTAGATTAATCAAATAAGCCATATAGTAGGTTTAAGCTATTGTTTGATCATACAATTCTAATTTCAATAGTGATGAATACATTTTATATTCATATGCATTACAATTTGCAACTCCTATAGAAATATGTAAATCCTTTTATTTCTTAATACTAGTTTTCTTTTAATTTGAGATTGTATCAAGTAACGTTGCATACAACTTCTTAAGCTGTTGAGGATGGCTATGAATTTTTATGTAACGACAATTGGTAACTATGTTCTCAGCACCGAATTTTTGTGGTGATTTGATAATACAAGTTCCCAGATGTTATAATTCAGGTCCAATGATGATTATAGGATGCTTATGGTGCTTCCTAATAAAACCAACCTCCTAATGCTAAATTTTTAATTTCTTTAAACTAGAAAATTTATATTCAACCAACTTAATAGGCTATTAATTGTCTTTCTTAAGTATCAAAGTTGTAATCTCACTTTAGAGAAATTTCCTAGAGCAATATAAATTATTAATCAGCAACATCTTCTAATGATATCAAATTGAGATATCATCAAAATTAGTGAATATTTTCTGATTTGGTAAATAGGTGTCTAATAAATAGAGTAAAAAATATATCAATAATAAACAAAAATGTTAATAAAAATTTAATTCAGTAAAGAAATCATAATATATTCATTTTAAATGTCCAATTTTATCAGCAATAACATCTTCTTTTTAATAGAAGTCTACTTTGCCTTCAATAATATCATTCATGTTGAATATTGCTTAAGTTTAGAATGTAATTTATACCTTCAACTATCTTCCAATTAAAATGCCAATCATTAAAAGTTTCAATCTAATACTAGTTGTAGTACCATGAAAACTATTGTTTCTCCAACTGCCCTCGAATATGATCTAAAATTTGGACTTGTCAGTAAATAATGTTCCTTAACCTTCTATACTGTGTACTTCTTAATGTGTTATTACCTCTCCTTCATAATATAAATTATTCTAAAATGTAATTTAGGCTCTTAGTTTATTGGATTTATTGAACTTATGTCCTGATGACATATTACAAGATTATTCAACATATTTTAATTTTTGAATTGTTAAAGTAGGAGTGCCGTGTTATAGATAAGCAAATAGCTTTACTAAGAACACTCGCTGTATGTATCTTGAGTTATTTCAGATCGATGGTATTTATGTTTACTTTATATTGTTTATAGAGCTGTTATGTTACTCAATTTTTATGATGTACTGTCTTGGGATTGCAATTAAACAAAAAGATCAGGATTTTATGACTTTATTCAAATACTATTAGTTTTATGACGCAACTTATTAATCTCAACTATATTATTATTAAAATTTGAGTTTTAATCTTTTGATGGAGAATTTGACCGAATCTGTTTTATGTTTGAAGATGAGATGGTTTTAGTAAATTTCACTATTTTTATGTTATCCTAAGGGCCCAAAAATATGTAATTTGGGAGTTGAATAGTAATGTAAGAGGTTTTTTGAGGAGATCTCAATGGTGCATTTCTTGTTGTATGTGCATTAGTCGTCAATCTTACTAATTACATTTAATAATATATTTTATAATAGACTGATTATTCTATTCATCTTCTCTTCTAAGTGAATGAAATTATATATTTTGATTTAATAATCATAATCAAAGGATTTTTTTTGCCAATTCCTGTTCATAGTCTACTTCTTCTTGTCCTTACTCAAGTTCTTGCTGTTAAATATTTTATTTTTGATGAATGTTGATCACTCTAACCTTAACCTTTCTTAGGGCTCGTACAATCTAGTTGATTAAGTTCTATATTTACATTTGGAGGATATATAGATGTCACGCAGGATTTCGTAATTGCCTCATTAAATTAATTCTAATCCCCTTTTTCATAGGAATTCAACACCTAATCGACTACTCGAAACTCTGAGGATTTATGGAAATTGTACACTCTATATATTATTAATACTCCAATCATACTAAATTATTAATTGCTCTAATTCCTGATTGGCTCTAATGATCTCATCTTGCAAGATGTACATTATAATAACAATCAAAGCATATTGACTGAGTGGGTATTTCATATGTTCTTCTCTAAACTTCGTAATCTCCTTCATATATAAATCAGCCACTTTGTGGTATTGTTGAGTCTCAATCAAAATCTCCACATAAGAGCTGATGATGTCAGTTCTGGTGGATGGAGCCTATTGATCTTCCGCTTCAGCCAAGGCTTCCAAAATTACCTTCTCTGCCATTTCATATTGTTGTCTTTTGATTAAATACCTGAAGAAAAGCTATCAATTTTACTTGGCCACTCTATTCAGCACTTAGATTGATTTCATTCCTGAATCTGAAACCTTGAAATAAATTCCAGCTTTCTATGTCCATTCTATAAGTTCTTTGTAATCATTGCTTGAATTATCAATAAGAGAATTAAGAAGGGCTTCATAGTTTCTACCCACTGCCCAAGTATCATTTAATTTCTCATTGCATTCAATGGCTAACTTCAGTGCTTCCTTTTCCTTCTAAGAATTCTTGCATTCCTTATACAATTTAGCTGCCTCTTCAAATTACATAGCACCCAAATTATAATCCTTTTTCCACTAAAACACACCAGTTGTTAAACTAAAATAATCTATGTTATGAGACATACGCTTCTTTGCCTTTCTTAAACTTCTTATCAGCCTCCTTCTCTTAATTATTGTCTTATTTCATTAATTGTAAAAATAATTATCAATTCTGCATAAAACAAATTTATTGATCAATCATTCCTCATTCTTTTTCTCATAACTACTGATAGAAAGGTTAAATTTCTCTGAAAACATGATACAATTTTGACAACAAATAAAATACTCTGCTTAGTTTTCGGGTTTAATTTGATATTATATCATCATATCAACTGATGGAGAATTTAGAGAGAGAAGGTTTCAATACATTGAATACATCTAAAAAAGAATAATAGTGTTAAATAGGAGTTGAAAGAAAATTATTATTAATAAGGGATTACTTAAAAAATATAATATAGTTTTCTATTTATAGGAAGGAAGATATTCATTCAGTTGAATAGACAATACTTATTGTAATTATTTAAATTAAATGGGTTAGATAGAGATAGTAATGTGCAGAATATTAATATTATAATAAAGAAGATATATATATGTATTAACAATTTTGGGAAATAATAAATTCTCATTGTAAATAAAATGAGATCAAGAAAGTTGTATGATGGAGATGTTGGATATGAATTACGAGGCTAGTCTAGTTAAAAATTCAGAAGAAAGGGTCAAGTGAAAAAGCAGAATGAAATTGAAATAGAGATTCCTAATGGGGATTTAACTAAAGGTCGAATATTCTTTAATCACAATTGTGCCGGTTGTCATGATTTGTATATACTCTTTCATTAATAAAGAGACTAAGATTTGTATTTAGGACCATCGTTGAGAACAGTTTATTTAAGAAGAAATGGATCTAAGAAGTTTTCAAATTATGGTAAAGACTTGACAGCCTATAAATTCTATTGGACTAGAAAAAAGCTTTGGGAATTCCTAGAGAATCCTGAAAAAATGTTTCCTGACACAAACATGTAGTTAGATGGAGTATTATTTGAATATAATTTATAGGTTAAAGATCCCTTTATGCTGGCTAGTGTTATAGATTATCTATAATATTTAAGAGTGTTTACATGCGATATAAGAGGATTAAAATAAATAATCTGAATATTGTATGAATAATAATAATAATCATATAATTAAAATAAATGTATAAGTAAGAGGGTTGTTTTTTAGTGGGGTAGAATTATCTAAGAAAGTGAATATGTATTCATTCCTAAATTATTGAACGAATTGAACATGTATTTGCAACTAATAGATAATAATAATTCAAGATAATAACTAGTTTAAGAATAAAACAACGCCAGACAGAGACGATAAGATATATCTAAATTGAAATAGGAGAGTTTGATGATTGAATATGATACAAAGCTATAATTGATACTCATTATTTTGGAAATGGGGTTTTTTAAAATTTTCGATGAACTTTCTACAACAAAGGTGTTTAGAACCAAACCTTTATTTATGGGCTTTATTAAAGAGACTGAGATTATCGTTATTTATGAAACCGAGTAGACACATCATTTTTTTTAATGGATTAACACAATCTTTATAATTCCTTTTTGTCCTTTAATTGCTAATCTCTAATGTCTATGTGATAGTTCTCTCTTTAATCAATATGCAATTAAATGAAAGACTTAAAAATACTCTCTTCCTCGTTTCTTTCCTTCACTCTGGCTAATTTGGATTTGGAGAGGATGTGCAATTATTTTTTTTGAATTTATTTGCTCATTTTTATTAGTATTTTAATATTATAAATAAATGAGAACTTTTGTTGACTTTATGGAAAAATATAAAGTTGTTTGTTCTAATGTCATACTCGAAAACACTCTAACAAGTGGAACATTATATTTGGGAGACTTTTACGCAGCTTTGGATAAGAAATGGTAATAGAAACATCAACTCGTTGCAGTATTGACTGTTGCTAAAGACTTGAATATTGAACCAGCATAAGGAATAGCACATAAGGTTATTGATGCCATCGATGATCCATCTTATGATTTATCATAGCATTTTGATGAATGTTACGAATTTATGTCGATATGGTTAAAGAGAGGACCAATTTTAGTTCATTGTGCTGCTGGAGTCTCTCGTTCTGCAGCTATAGTAATATATTTTATAATGAGATTCTTTAAATGGAGTTATATCAAATCATTTTAGCATGTTAAAGCTAAACGAAGTGTGATCTGTCCAAACGAAGGATTTATAAGATAACTCAAAAAACATGAAAAGTTGTTAGGTTTAGTAGTGTTTAGAGAAAGCACTTTAGAAGAAGAATAAAAACGCTAGACTTAAACAAAACCATCAAGAGGAGTAATTAGAGGAAGATCGGTTGTCATAAGAACTCAAAAATAGCCATTGACTAGATTTAAATGATATATATATCATTTTACTATTTAAATTAAATACATTAATAAAAATACTAAAGACTTGATGATATAAACAAGTATGATAAAACAATTAATTCAAATACTTAATTTAAGAGATATGAATCTGAAAAGGATATCTTAAACAAAATAGCTAAAATCAAAAGTATTTCAGAAATAGATAAGGGTATTCAACTATTTTTCTTTAAATTTCAAAGCACAATTAAATATTATCAAATATATATTTTCTATATATTTTCATATTTGTAATGAAATAATATTGTCTCCTTTATCGTAAATATTCTATTAGAGTGCTATGAAATGACATTGTTTTTTCAATAAAAGTAATTTTAGCCAAAAAGGACATCTCTTAATTGGAGAAAATTGAAAACTAGTTTTTATAATTAGCTTATTTATTTTTAATATAATTTAAATTAAAAATGATTAACGAGAATAGGAGATAAGAAATTATGTCTAGATTGAAATAAGAAAGAGAGTAAAGGAAGAAATTGATAGAGGGTGGAAATGTTGAAACTGTCTACATCGATAAATCTTTAATAGAAACACCAAGCATTGGTGATGAGGAATATTCAGAGACATAATCATAAATTACAGATTAAAGCAAAAATAGTTAATTTAGCAGATAAACACCAGATATACTAAAAGTCTAATAGGAGAAATTGTAAATGATGAAACAGAATCTATTCAAAAACAAAGAGACAAAGAAACCCACATATTTTGATAAATTAGCACAACCAAAAACTATTGTCTAAGAAGAAAGGGAGAATTAGAAATTAGAATAAGAGAAAAAAATGGTAAACAAATAAATCATTTTAGTTGGCTGAGTTATCATTTAGACCAGAATTGAGTGATTAAACTAATTTGCTTGCCTAAATTAAATATTCTAAATTTGAAGGAATTCCCATACATGAAAGACTGTAAATGTTAGAATAGGAAAGATAGGCGCATATTGATGAATTAAAATTGATGATTAATTAATAGGAGGAGGAGCAGCCTTTAAATAAAGCTCCTCGACCTTATTGTGATCAACCTCCTCTGTATGAAAGATACTAATAAGTTATGCAAGATAAAAAGGCTTTACTTGATTATTTAAAAGCAAAACAACTTAGAGAGGAGGGAGACTTATTCAAACCTCGAATAAATATATAATCTTAAATTTTAGTTGAAAAAAATAGAGTAGATGGTTTGAATGTAGTTGATAGATTAATACAGGACGGCATACGAAAATAAAACATCGTTTATTCGGATGATTTGCCTTATGATTTCCAACCATAAACTAATTAAAAAATTAATGATCAAATAGTCAAAGGAGATTTTAATTAAAGACAAGAAGAATTTAACAGGAAGCTACTTGAAAAGAATTTGGAGTTAGAAAGCAAGGCATATTAAGATTATTCATTCAGACCAAAATTAAATAAGTAAAGTGAATTGATAGCAAATCGCAAGATCTCTTAGGATTCATTATTTGATCGACTCTATAGTGAATACTAGACTAGACAATCATATATTGAAGAAAAAAAGTAAGAAGAAATAAACAAATCAAATTTCAACCCAGAATTAAATCCTAAGTCAATGGAAATGGCTGTGGAGAGAACTCTTTAAGATTTGATAAAAAATGAATATGGAGAGTATAGAAAATAGTTATTAAAAGAAGTTAATTAATTAAATTATTTTATAGAAGTATGATGACTCTGATAAGGAATGTTCATTCTACCCAAGTGTTTCGACATCCATGAGATATTCATAAATGCATTCCTAATATAGTTTTGATGATTGTCACGAAAAGATTAAGTAATATCAAACTAACAGAGAATAAAGAAGATCTCAATTAAGAAAGTATTAATTTAACTAAACTAAGGTAGTAAGAAGATGAGTAATTGAAGTAGTGTACATTTAAACCATAGATAAATAAGAAAGTAATAGATAATACCAAACAAATTGAAGTTTATGGTTTAGAATCCTTTATGCATAAAGTGGATATGACTAATAAGATGAAAGACCAATAATAATTAGTTGAACAAAAGCTTTTCAAAAAACATGAATAATACGATTATAACAGACATCAAGAAAGAACGAATTGTCAACCATTTAAACTATCTAGTAATTAAACTAGTAAAAATTCATATAAAAAATGAATAACTACATATTTATAAATTTATTATAAATTCAAATATTCAAAAAGACAGAAATTCCATGTTCTTCATATAAATTATATTTAATTTGCCACCTACTAAGTTATTTTGTTTACAATTTGCCCATTGAGGTAGCTACGATATCTTTAAATAAATACACAAATCCTGTTCAATTCTGACTATACATATCTTCTAATGTCATATCAATGTTCAGATTATTCCCTTTTTAAAAGCATACATGAATAATTCATTATTTCTCCAACTAACCAAATTAATTTTGTTATGTTTGATTAATCATTTTATTTCATAGTATGCATTTATTGATTCGTTTACACATTTACGTGTTTACAGCCCAAAACTCATAACAATCTTAAAGTAACTTAAATAAAAAATTCAGATCATCAGTTTATTTAATTTAAGCTTTAATTATATTCAATGGTTGAATTATTTTATTACATTAGATTATAGTAGACAGATGGATTAATAAAAACGATATAAATCTATAATACTCATAGATGATTTAATTTTATCTTTTACCTTCCTTTAAAATTTAGATACTTGTTGAAATGATATGTTCAATTTCTAAATAAAAAATATAGTAAATTTTATTGATACATATTGAAATATAAATATATATATTAATTTTTTGCTGTCTCAACTAGTATTATAGTTTTAGATAACTAATTTTTATTAATAATAATGGGATAAACATGTAATGGCTGCTAATGGTAGCACCATACCCCAGAATCCATTTAGGAAATCAACATCAAAAAGAAACCAAAGAAAAAAGTCGAAAAGTAAGATAAGTCAGAGAAAACTGAGAAATCAGATCATTAACAAGAGCAAAAACAGGTTGAGAAGACAGACCAGAGTATTAAAAAACAAAGAAAAATCTCGTAAGGAGATGCTGCAATTAAAATTCAAAGAAACTGGAAAAAGCATAAAAAGCAGAAAGAAAAAAAGAAAGAAAAAGCTGGTGCCAATATGAAATAGTAGTATTTTAAAGAGGAAATAGCAAATGCACAACCCCCACCGGATCCGAATCGGGTAAAGAATCCACCATATAAGTATACAATAATAAAACATAGGTTTTAATCAGGAGCTATCTATGATGGAGAATGGAAAGATAAAAAAAGAGATGGATTTGGAATTTAACAATGGCCTGATGGTGCCAAATATGAAGGGTAATGGGTTGATAACAAAGCATGTGGACACGGTAAGTTTTATCACGCTGATGGTGATATTTTCGAAGGAGAATGGAAGGATGATAAAGCTAATGGTTGGGGAGTGTATAAACATTCAAATGGAGCTACGTACGAAGGTGAATGGAAGGATGATTTGTAACATGGAAGAGGAACGGAGACCTGTAAAATTGCAGTTATCTATGTTAGGGTAGGATAAATCAAAATATTGTGGAGATTATATAGATGGGAAGAAGCATGGCAAAGGAAGGTATGATTGGGCTGATGGCTCTTATTATGATGGGGAATGGAAGGACAATAAAATAAATGGATTTGGAACTTATAAATGGGCAGATGGAAGGGGATATACGGGTGAATGGTTGGACAACAATATGAATGGAAAAGGAGTCTATTAATGGCAAGATGGTAGGAAGTATGAAGGATCCTACCTTAATGATAAAAAACATGGGTTTGGTATATATTACTGGGCTGATGGTAGAAGATATGAAGGAGGATGGAAGAATGGTAAATAGCATGGGAATGCTAAATATTACCTTAATGATGGAACAATCAAGGATGGACTTTGGGAAGATGGAAAAAGAATCAAATGGTTAGATGATGCTTGAATTTATATTTCATTCTCCTTTTTACTTCATAATATTAAAATAAACCATCTTGAATGAAGCTAGTTTTTAACAACATTATAATTTTACAATAAAATCATTTTTGAATTGAAACTCAATATAAATTAAATTAATTTTTATAGTGATCAATTATAGGAGTAGAAAGTGAACAGAATTGCCTTCAACTATATTGTTGAGGTGTAGAAGCCGAAATCAATTTATGATTAAGCGAGCATATCTTATATTAAATATACAAAATTGTTTAATTATATCTTAATCGAAATTGTAAATCTCTATGAGCAAGCAATTAAGAATTAAAGCTAATTCAGGTTCTAAAATCAAAATTTAGTTTTTCATTAAGTGTGACTTGAGTTATTTTGACCCCTAATTAAAAATAAGTTCCATTTCTTTAATTAGAACGCGTACCATTTAATCAAGGGTTTCGAAAGGTTTTATGTTATAGTAAATATTGTTGTAAACTATTAACTTTAAAGATTGAGATCTTCCAGGAATAAAGAACATAAACAAATTTGTCAATGAGTAATCTTTAATGAAAGCCTGATTCATTTAAAGGAGGATAATTTGGATACTAAAGCAATTAATAAAAGTATAATAATTAATTTTCGTATTTTTGGATTATAATATTAAAATGCAAAAAAAGAGTAGGTAAATTTGGAAGAGTAAAATAACAATTCAAAAAGATTTTAGATAATTGTAAATAGTAATATGTAGAATAATTGCATATATTATCGTTGGGGAGTGCATAATAATAATCTTTGAGAGCATCTACTTGGCTATAATAACATTTTATGAAGTATGATCTCTCAGTATTTAGTACATTGGATTACTGAGTGTATTGTTTTTATTGATTGTTTTGCTATTACGATATTTGAGGCATTTTCGAAGTACTAAAATAGAAATATAAGGACTTTTGATTATAGAATATGATTGTAGTAGTTGCAAGCAATTCATAATTTGTTAATTTTGCCACCATTGTTAGACGAGTGCTAATCATTATAAACTATTGTAAATGTGTTTGGATTAAGAATAAATCAAGTACGAGCAAAAATATTATAATAAGATTGGTAAAGCGAGGCATATTAATATTTCTAATTAAGATTCTATCTTCTGTGGCATTTGAATCCTATACTGCAATTAAAGTTGAAAATTCCATGGAATTCTATACTGTTTATTAAGCTGCTATAATGGCAGTATTGTTTGTAAATTCGATACTTTTTTTTTTATTGATTTATTTTGGATGGCGAGTCTATGGAGAAATAAGAGAAAAATCAACATTTATCTAGACATCTCCGGATGGATTTAGAATGATGGAGTAACTGTCTGCAATCTAGTAATAAGAGAAATCATTAAAGAAAGACGAAATCAAGAACCCAACGCCTGACTAACCAGAATTGGAAGATAAGGGCTCTATTAATATATCAATAAATGAGAACATGAGTCCAGCTATGTTAAAATTAGTATTTGAATAATTTTATCAAGAAATCAAGTTTAAGTCCCAGTCCAGGGAAATATAGATCTGGGAAAATACTTGACTTCTTAGAAAAAAAGATTAGTCATGCAAAACACAGTTAAAAGGAACTAAGTAATGGGTTCAGTCGTGAATTCAATAAAAAATTCAATACTGATTAATGTACAATAGATTTAATAATAAAAGTATAAATTAGTCTTGACTTCGGAGATCAAGAAGATGTTTCTTCAGCAAGAAATCCAATTGATGTAGAAATACAGAAACATAACTTTTCCAAAGATGTTAAATTCATTTCTTGAAAAACTTTGTCTTTCATTCTAACTATTATATTAATCTTTATATTTTATCAATTATCAAGCATCGATCTCCATCAGTTTGATAATAATATGTGATCAATGATTTCTAAGTCTGTAGTCTTAACTTACATATATACTAGCTATTATAATGAAAATATACAAATACAAAACAGGATCTCTGATTCTAACTGGATTTCAGTCAGTAATAATAATTGTAAATGTTAGACAATGTAAATCTTAAGAATGATATAGATAAGATATAAATATGAAAGTTGTTAATTACATAAATAAACAAAAATTCTTAATGGGTTATAAATGCACAAGTATTTTGATGATTAGATTGAATGCATTTATAATTATACTAATAATTATAAAATGATAAATTATTATATATAGTTAAATTATGACAGAATTGATTGATAAATTTAGAGTGCCTTTTTTAACATCTCTTGCCAATTATAAATTGAGACAATCAAATGATATCTGGATAAATTTTAGAAAGTTGCTACAACTATTTGAAGGATGCGAACCTTGGATTGTCAATGTCAATGTATTTGTCTATTATCTAATGCTTTTAGAAATGGAATCAATATAAAGTATGGTCTCTATTAGAAAAACCATAAAAGTTAATTAGATTAGTTCAAAATTTTAGAGTCAACATTTAAAAGATGCATCCTAAAAATATAGAAATTGCAATAGACAATTTATGCTCAGGGGATAATCAATATTCATAATATTTGGCTGCTCTTGTTTAATACATTATTGAAAAATACGAGATCCTAATTAATGAAGAATAAATCGCTAATTATCTTGATGATTCAGATCTTATTGAATCCAGAATGAAAACACAAGAAAGTGGACTTGACTTCTAGGAATAACCATCAATGGATCTCTCTTGTAGTAATAGCAAGCCTAATTCTGCAATGAGAAAAAGCAGTTGCACTCAAAGATCAAATACAACTGAATCTCGGAATAATTGGAATTAAACCAAAAATACCATTGAAAATCTCTAGAAACACAAATTGCATTTATAATAATAAATTGAGTAATAAAAAGAAATTCTAAGGGAACTTCAATATTAGCATAATAAGACGACATAATAGATTTAAAAGCTAAGTTCAAATTCTAAAATAGATAAAATCCTAAATAACTTCAACAAATCAAGAAGATTTGTCTCTTGATACACCTAGAAGGTATGATCCAGAATTATTATTTGAGTCAAAAAAATCATAAATTATAACAATTTCTCTTTAAAATGTATGTTATTATAAATAAATTATTCTTAATATTTTGAATTACTAATCAAATTATAAAACACATCTACTCTTTAATTAAAATTCAACTTAATTGATTTAACCAAAAAAAATGTCACTTCAAAATCATATATTTTAAGTAAACTCTTTCTTAAACAAGAGGAAGCACCACCGAAGAAGCCTTTGAGTGCTTATTTCCTGTTTTTAGGAGATGAGAGACATGAAATTATGAAAAATAATCCTGGATCAAAAATATCAGAGATTACATAAATTGCAGCGTAATAAACTTCTTATCAATTTGATAGACGAATGTGGGCAGAACTTGATGAATAGAGAAAGATAGAATATTAAAAAAGAACAGGGGTACTACAAAAAGAGTATGAAGTAAAAAAAAAGGAATATGAAGTAAAATATGGTGAAATTAAGAGAAAATCAAAGAAAAAGTAAAGGTAAATTGATCATCAAGAGCATGAGAAAAGCGTATAGAAAAAGATTAAAAAATGATAAATACATATTAAATCACAAATCAAATTCACCAAAAATAGTACCTTGAATTATTTGATCGATATGGTACTCCCATGTTTAATAGAATGGATACCTGTAGATATTTTCAGATTCAATTAATTTGTCTAAAAGATTGTTGTAGTCATCGTTGATAGTATAATTTTCCTCATGTGTTTCTTCTTCTTTTATTTCAACCACCTTCTCTTCTTATTGATTTTCATCTTCACCTTCATCAGATTAACTGTCATCCTATTCAGAGATAGCTGTTGCACCCTTTTATGATCTTCCTCCCTATTTATTTTCGAGGATTGTGTTTCTTTTTTTGTTGAGTGATCCTGAATTACTGATTTATCTTTTAAGTGGAGTCTTTTCAAATTCTGGAGTTACTTCAGGTTTTTCCATTTCTGGTAACTGTTCACTTTTAGTGCTTCGTACAGATTTCAAAGGGATCTCTTCCAAAAGAGTCTTAGATCTTGAACTCAATTGTTACTATAATGAAGATATAGGATTGAGTTCTAATTAGGAGAGATCCCTTACAGATGGTTATAAAATGATAGATTTTTAAGATTTTTATGGATTTCTTTTATTTTTGATACGTTTCCTTTTAGGACTACTAGGAGAATTATTATTGGTTTCCTCCTTCTCAAGATCACTAGGAGGTTGATCTTCATTAAGTTATATAGATGTAAGAGGAGTAAAAACACTTTCTTTAGGAGATTATTCCTAAGCGATTTTGGGTGTTTCATGAGGTTATAGAGGAGGAACTTCTATAACCTAGGATTATTGAGGGGTTTCTTCAATCTTTTCTGTGGTTTCTGGAATCTGATCTTCTTATTAAATTTGATCAAAAAGAATGGCAGATTCTTTTCTGGCCATGACTGGTTTCTTAGGTTTGAGAAGAGTTTTAATTGCTTCCATATGGTTGTACAAATACAGGACTTAATTATCGAGCTTCTTATTTTACACATAGTAATCATTAAAGTCTTAATAGAGACAATCGTATTCATCTTTGAGACACACCATTGTAACTTAGAAAGTTTCTTATTGATTAGTTTCTTAATAAAACTGTTGACTAGATAACAGTAATTTCACTTTAATCATTAATTAAGTGATTTTGTCTTTCAATTATTGATCATCTCTATCATTAGTTACACGATCTAATCGTATACTGGCAGCAGGTTCTTTAAAAGAATAAATTCTTGGGTCTCGAGATAGACTTCCATCTTCTTTTGGAAGTTAGTACATTAATTATTTTAACTTGCTTCTATATTTACTTACAGTATTAATAACTGATGAACTCTAGTTGGCAGGTTGAGTTTAAGTAATCAAATCACTTCCATAACGGAATTCAGCTGTTTTTAGTTTCTCTTAGCTATTGTAAATTGCAATTGTCATTCCTCGCACTCTTTTTTTTATTGGAGATGGACCATAATATCTTTGAGGACTACTCTAATATTTGATCATCGAGGAACTTGATTGATTATAATCACCATAACTGAGACTGAATTGAGAATCTTTAGGTTGTAATTTAAGAGCAGGCAATCTGAATGATGAAGCCTAAATTCTCATACTTAAATTAATAATATTTTAATATTTATAAGAAAGAATTTCATGTAGTAAAAGAAAAAAGACTCACCCTTGGTTCAGTTATCAAAAACAATGAGTTATTTTTTGAGACACGGTGCCTTGAAGGAAGGTATTCCAATTAGATAGGATGGCTTTGTGCTGGTTTAAGATTTACTCAAATAGCCTTCAATCGTAAAATTGAAAGCCGATCTATAAAGCATCAGAAATGTTGTGGATAATAATGACAAAAAACGATTTGAACTAAAAGAAATAGATGGATAATTGTATATTAGATGTGTCTAAGGACATACTATTGAAATTAATGAGGAAGAACTATTATAAAAAATAGTTGACCCACAATAATTTCCTGTTATTGTACATGGCACATACTTTTAAGCATGGGATTTGATTAAAAATACTGGATTAAATAAAATGGCAAGATAGCATATACATTTTGCAGTTGGATTACCAGGAGATGACGCAGTAATCAGTGGAATGAGAAACACTTGTGAAGTCATTATAGAGGTGGATATGGAAAAAGCAATGAAGGCAGGCATTTAATTCTATGTATCAAAAAACGGAGTAGTACTATCAAGTGGAGTTGATGGTGTTATTGCACCATAATTTTTTAAAAGAGTAACCAATAGAAAAGGATAAGATATCAATTTTTAATAATAATAAATGTGATCATACAATTAATATATATATTAATCCTGATAGATATTATATAAGATTCTGATAAAGGATAAAAATGAGTATTTGTCTCAAAAAAAGGAGAAATTTATTATAGATTTTGTATTATTGTCTAATTTTATGGATAAAATACTTAGAAAAGATTGTTGTAAGCATGAATCACAATAATTTGTTTTATCATAGTCAAATTAAAGATTATGATCTTTATATGATAAGGATTAATTGGAGAGTTAAAAGACATACATCTCCTATTTGTAATATACATGGCAATATATCTTATAAAATTGCATAATAATATAACAGTCTAGAGATAAAATCTCTTCCGTTAATATTATTGATTTCAAAATACTCAATTCTAATTTTATCCAAAGTAATAAAAATATAAAATAGATTTCAATTTAAGACCTAGATAAACTATTGATTATAATAAGAATAGAGAAATCATGTATTACTACCATAAATATCAAATTCTTGTTATAGAAAAGAATTATCATTTTTTAAGATAACTTAGGAATTGCTAGTTTTGACACAAAAATCTCTTTTTAAAATTGCACAAATATATATATATATAATTTTAATATATGAATTAACCAATTTAACTAAATTGTCAAAATCCAAAAAAAGGATACTTAATATAAAGAGGAAAAAGCAAAGCTAGTGAGAATCCAAAGGAGAGACAATCCTTTGCCGAGTATGTGAACTCTTTGTCAGAATCATAACAATAATTACATACTCATAATAAGTCTCCAAGAAAAGAATCAGTGCCTAAGCGACATCCAACTCTTCCAAAATTAGAATTACCTTCTCCAGACGTCTTGAATAAAAGGTTCGTTGTAAATATTGGTAAATGTCCTGTCACTAATTTCCAATCCCCTATTTACAGGCCTAGCTTGGTAAATGCTGCTCTAATATTATCGAATTAAAATTAATTCCACAACATTCAATCTCCTAGACACAATTCCTTCGAGACCAGAAAGTCGCTCATTCCTTAATAGAGATTATTGCCTATCCATCGAACTTCGGTTAACAATATAAGTGGAAGAAGTGTACTGGATGATGACATGAGTTTGTTCTATTATAAAATCGGAGGAGCTGAAACTATAAATCAACTCAATGAGGAGTTTCACCGATATTCAATTCAACACGAGATGATCTCAAGTAAGTAATCAAAACATATGTAGAGATTGATGATTAAGAAAGATATAAGTAAAGGTTTAAGACCTTCTTGGAATATATTATGGGAAAACCTATATTTTATAATCTAGAACAATTAAAAGAAAAACATAAAGATTTAAGACTTAAAAATAGAGATTTCAATTAATTTAAAAACTATTTAATTGTACCAATAATTATTTAATTTAGACATGTTTCTTGAAAGTCAATAAGGCACAATTAGATTATGTATTTGAATTCAGTTCAATGATCGAGCAATATCGCTATTGTATTATCAATAGTAATACTCCATTTGCTATTATTTACAACCAGAGAACTGAAAAATTAAATACAAAAGATGTTCCTGATCCTATATTATAATTAGCTTAGAGCAGCTACCAAAAGATTTTCTAAGATAACTCCCTAGCACCATATTTTATAGGAATTGAAATCAAATAGTAAGCAAGAAAATTAGGCAAGATCTTATCCCAATTAATGGCTTGGGAACAAACCAATGATCAGATTTTAGTCGAGATGAGATAGTCCCATAAGGGTATGCATTTGACAAATGTCCATTTCACTCTATTTAAATAACATCTTGTGGAGTCGATGCGTTAACTTAACATACAAGAAAAACAGATAGAGTTGGTGACAACTAGAATGGATGGTTATCGAAGTTACATCATAAATCAAGACTCTTTGTTGGATTATTATGGAGAGCAATCTTCCTTATTGTAAGTTTAGTAAAAGAAGTATGTCTAATTGTTGAAGAGGGATCCTCGAATGCAAAACTACCCAGCAACTGCGATGGAAAGACATTCTTAATTTATTTTGAGATACCTTACTCATTAGCATATACCTACCCTAACTAAAAATGACTTATGGACTATTCATTCCAAATATAATATTGCCACTGAATGGATTGATTCCTTTCGTGATAACTTTTTCCTTCTTATCAAAAGTCTAAATCTTAATGCTCTAATTATTTAAGATTATGAGGATATCTGGTATAAACTAAGAAACAATCTTACTTAATATCATTCGATTGAAAGTAAGATTGGTAAGATGAAAGTTAATCTTGTAATAGCTAAAGTTTAAATAAAATTGTAAGATAATGAAAATTACACAGAATATTTTAAGAATGCCAATTACTAAATGAATTTGCATCTCCATCGGATAATTGCTTTTATATTAACAGATTAACACATCTACAACTCAAATGATTTAAAGGTCATTCACTAATCAGTTAAAATTAGAGAAAGTACATTTAATTTGTTTATTTAATTCCTTAAAAATGCTATGTAAGAAGAAGGCATAAGTTCCAGTCTAATTGCTTAGGCCGAAGAGATTTGTAATTATTATAAAAAGAGTGTGTGCACTTGATTGCTATTATCTTATATCTATATAATAATTTTGGTTTTATATTTAATTCTGAATTAAAATTATCTAAAATATCAAATATGTTACTAAATCAACCGTTGTAATATTAATATAGTTTTCGTTAGAAATATCGAAAAATGATCTTAATTGATAATTGTTAGACGGCTTAATCGCTATTAATTCAGTTTACTAATTCTACTTGAGATAAAAGATTTCTATTTAATATCATAAGGTTTAGACTCTTTTATTTATTGATTATTAAACATTTAGTAGTCGTTTCTAAAATAGTTTTTCCATTAAAATGATTGCTAATTTTTTTAGTACAAATGTGTCCTTTAAAGAAATTTACTATTAATTACTTCATTATCTTCCTTTTTTAATATACTTATTTAGGATGAAATCATGTTTCAATTAGGTTGTACACATTCCTTAATAAAAATAAGTCAAATGGGTTTAGTAAATACTAAAAATATCAGTTGCTCTTAAAATTCAACATCTCTGCTATATTGATTTATTATCCAAAAACACTTCTAATATCAATCATGATGATGGTTTATTAGCTAAATCTTATTTAACGTCATGATAATTATTAATTAAGCATCAAAAAATTGATATCTTATATCTATAATCATCTCATGATTGCTAAGAACTGACAATCATGACCAAGCAACTAAAATAAATTGACTATGTTATTTAAAGTCATTTGACCAGTAGGCTTTTTAATTTATTAAATTTGAATATGAGTCAGATAATTGCAGATACATAAAAATTGAGTGAAAAGAAGAAAGAAGAAATTCAAAACATTGTAAATATAAATTCAAAGAGAGCAGTGTATTGCATTCCATAGCTATTTGTAATTTTAAAGAATATAGCAACCTTGTTCAACTAGAGAGATAGATTCTACATTATATACCGTAAAATATATCATAAAAATAATGTATTGATAGACATAGACAATAAGCGGTTAATAGTAATAAGGAGATGTATAACAATTATTTAACTTTGATATAAATATATATTACCAAAAATTAAATGTCAGATAGCGAAAATGAATAATAAAAAAAGGTTGTCCTCCCTTAAATAATAATGAATGTCTATGACACTCAATATTAAGTGGTTCGTTATGTGGGATAAGAAATACTCAAATGGAAGTTGATTTCAGAACCAGAATCATGGGATTGGGATGTTTATTGGACTGATTCTGGAGTCCACGCAGAAATGCTGAGCAAAATGAAATGTACAATTTAAATTAATAATCTTCAAGAGCATTAAAAAGTTAATCATTTTCCAGGGATGTACATATTGGCCAGAAAAAATAATCTGGGGAAATAATTAACTAAAATGCGTCGACGATTTCCTAAGGAATTCAAATTCTTTCCTTTTACATGGATGCTCCCTTCTGATTCTTAAGACTTAAGGGAATATATGAAGGGAAAGGGAAGAGATGAGATTTTAATAGTTAAGCCTGAAGCATCTTGTTAAGGGAGAGGTAAGAATTAATTGGTAAAGTTCAGGTATTTTCTTAACTAAATCTCTTGACTTCATCAGTCCAACAGAGAAATACGTAGTGTAAAAGTATTTGGGTGAACCCTTTTTAATTGACGGTTTGAAATTTGATTTTAGAATATATGTTCTCGTCGCTGGATGCGATCCTTTGAGAATATTTATATACACTGAAGGATTGGCAAGATTTGCAACTGAAAAGTACTTGCCTCCCCATCCTTCAAATTTTGACGATCTTTGTATGCACTTGACTAATTATGCTATTAACAAAAATAACGAAAACTTTGTATTTAATGAAGATGTCTAGAGAATGGATATTGGACACAAGAGAAGTATGTCAAGTGTTTTTGAAAAATTAAAATAGGAAGGCAGAGATATTGATCAACTGTGGATGGATATCAAATAAATCATAATAAAAACTCTTTGTTCTGCTCAACCTTTTCTTAAACATCAATATACCACTAGTCAACCTAATAATCTTATGAATAATATGTGTTTTGAAATCTTGGGATTTGATATTATTTTGGACAATTCCTTCACGTAACTATTTAACCTCTATTTTAGACCTATTTTATTAGAAATCAATCATAGTCCTTCATTTACTACAGACTCTCCTTTAGATCAATACATCAAGGCTAATTTGATTGAAGACTCACTAGTGTTGATGAATGTAAACAGGGAAGAGAAATACAGACTGATGTATGTTTTAATTCTTATTAAGATAGGAGAAGCACCAAGAAATGCAAAAACGTATTTTAACAGGGAGAAATATCAAAATGACATAAGAGGATAGAAAGGCCATTGTTGAATAATATCAATTGATTCGAGATGCCTATGAGGATGAACATCTAGGGGGATTTGAGAAGATTTATCCATGCGATGAGGAGTATGAGACAGATTATTATACTTAATTTCTGAATTATGCTAGTGACATCTTTGAAGAATCAACGGGTAATTGTGAAACATCTATGTAGGTACAAAAAAGATCTAATTGCCTCCAAGTAGAAAAATAACTGGAAGTCCATAAAAATCAATAAAACATGATGCTGCTAAAATCTATGCTCAACCTTTGAGAGTAGTTGTTTAATCATAACAGCTCTAATCAAGGAAAACTAAATAACATACTTTATTATACAAGTCTATGATCTAACAATAGATTCAATAGGAATAACGAAAAATCTAGATCATGATGAAATAGAGGGAATAACTTCAATAAAAATAAAAATATATTTAATGAATATTTTAATTCGCCTTTATTTTTCATTTTCTTCATCTGAAAACCCTAAATCATTCATCAATTCTGTAACACTCTTCTCTATGTCATCAATTCTCTTTCCTTTTTTGGTTGATCTTAATAATAAATACCCATATCATCAATTCTTGAAACTATTGTTCCTTACATTTCTTCAAAGCGTTCTGACATTTATTTCAACAATGTTTAAACGAAATTATTTAGTTCCTTGTTGGTTGGATCTTCACTTGAAATAGTTTTAAATAATATAATTATATATTAATAATATTGAATGAGGAAATTACGAGTAAAGATGATAGCAAAATGTATAATTCGGAGTGGCTAGGCTTCAGATCTTAAAAAATTCCAATAATTTAGGTGCTATTCAATACTTATGAAAGAAGAGGAAAGAAAATTCAACATTTAATTTCACCTTTTTGACAATAAGGAGATTTCGAATTTAAGTAAACAGATCCAAATTATTGATATAGTCCATAGGTGGTAAACTGAATAAAATTACGATATTAATTCATTGAGGTAAGAGGATATGATAGGATAATACTTCAATTTCAGGAAGTTTTAACTTTTCCCTCATTTTAGAATTTACGATATTTGAAAAAATAAAATAATTTAGAACAAGATAAAAATTTAAATCTTGTTTAAAAAAGAAATGGCAATTTAAGTAATAATCAAAGTTTTGACTCCAACTTTTTAAAAATCTGTGCTTTTCATTTTCAAATGGCATCCAAATCCATCAAGTGTCTCAATTTGACTTAACAATATAATTATAATTAATGTTTTGGATCTATTATGCTCTAGGCTAATTAGAAGATCCATCACGAAGTCACACATTGATTAATATCAATAAATTCTTTAAAATTGTATGGTAAGTATTTGATAACAATAATATAAATAATTTTCAAGTAAAAATATGCTGACTGAATTTACATCCTTCTTTGATAATTTCGACGTTCTCTATAAAATCAAACATATATGGTCAAAGTTTTAGCAGCCTGTATATGAAGTAAATACAAATGTAAATAATCTAGAATGATTCAATTAGTTTTGAATCTGCCTGTCATAAAATATGCAGAAAAAAGAAAAAGCTCAAACCAATTTCAATCTAATTGGGCTAAGAATAGATGTATCTTTTCAAAGATAAAAGTCCTCATGGAATGCTCCAATTAACAGTAGTGATTATGAGCATCTATAAAACCGATTATGGAAAGGCTATCAGATTGAAAAGAAATGGATAATATATCGATTTAATTACGTCGGATCCTAACGTTCTCAAGCAATTATTGTAGTAAAAGTGTCTTCAAACTACATTTCATGATGACTTTACTGTTTCCAAAATGATAGGCAAAGGGAGTTTTGCTAAAGTATATTTAGCAGCCAAAAAATCTACAGGAGTCTAATTTGCAATAAAGGCATTCAACAAGGAGTTCATGCAAGAATAATTTAGAGGAAAAGAGAGTTTAGAGAATGAGATCAGAGTCATGCGAAGGCTTAACCAAGAAAATCTAGTACATTTACATGAGGCCTATGAAACTCAAAATTCAATCTATTTTGTTCTGGATCTATTAGAAGGAGGTGAATTATTTGCAAGAGCTAAGATAAGTCCTTACTCAACAGAATGCCTATAAAAATTGATGTACAATTTTCTTAAGGCGCTCTTACACATTCACAGTAGGAAGTGTATTCATAGAGATTTAAAACCGGAAAACTTATTGTTAAGAACTTAAGAATACCCAACCGATATTGTTATTGCAGATTTAGGATTAGCAACTTTTCTAAATGAATAGATTATATTTAAAAGGTGTGGGACTCCTGGATTTGTTGCACCAGAGATTTTAATATATAAGTAAGATGATCCTTTTTATGATGATAAATGCGATATATTTAGTGCTGGTGTGATTTTTTACATCCTACTTACAGGCAAGCAACCTTTTTAAGGTTCTGATTACAAAACAATCTTAAGATCCAATAAAAACTGTGAAATTAACTTCAATATAAAGCAAATTTAGTAGGTACTATAAATATCCATAAATGTAGTCTTCACAACAATTATAGGAACTGTTGAGAAAGATGCTACAATAAAATCCAAAAGATCGGCCTAATGCCGAAGCCTGTTTGTAACATCCCTATTTCAAAGAAATCTTCGATAAAAATGACTTAATAGAAATTCATGAAAATTTAAATGAATAAAATTAACGTCTATTATTAAAAAAAGGTAGTTTTGAAAGTTAAGTGGGATCCATGGAATTAATAACTAGATCTCCTGTTTTAAATGGTAGAATTGATTCAGTAGGATCATTATCATATGGTTCAGTATTAGGGTCATCAACTCGTTTGGAAAAACCACAACTACATCAACAATAATATTAATCTAAATTTAGTCAATTCTGTTAAAATATGAAGAATGTTCAACAAGATCAGAATGGCAGTCCTCTAGCATCTCCTTTAAATAAAAGAAAAGATTCATAGGACCTTCATAAATTTGCATTGAAAAACTCTTACTAGTAAAAACAACTTAGCAAAGATGATGAAGATGTCAATGAAGAATAAACCCATTTAGAAAGTTCCATACAGAAATTAAACTCTTAGTCATCTAAAATTGGCTTATTGAAAAAGAGTGCTTCCTTTTAGGGGCCAAAAACAATATAGGAATGATATATATCAATTAATAAATTGCCAGTTCCCTGTAGAATCTAACAAATCTATTCGATCCCGTTTCCGAATCCTATATATCCAAGATCAGCAAAAGATCTGTCAATTTCTTTCGATCCACTACCCTTGGTTTAACATAATATTGACGTTTGGCGCTATAAGATAAAGTGGATATAGATTAATTTGGGGATTCAAAAAATAGAGATTTTTATTAGAATTTAATCAAATTAAGTATAGAATTACTCTTGGTGATTCACTTCTATCGGCTTATTCATCTTCACTTTCAACTTCTTAAATGGTTACTATTTATTTACCTTTGTAAATTCAACTAATCCTCTTTCTCTTTGTATTCTTTGTATTGTTCTTCATTCATTTTTGCTCCTTCGCTCTCACTTCAACCAGGAATGTATTAAAGATTAAGATGCAGTTGCTCTCATCTCTGGATAAGGATTTAACATCGGTCCTAAAAAGGAAGCTTAATTATTAAATTATTTTAACTACCTAATTCTTTTGCTTCTTTTGGAATATACTTGTACTTTTCTATTAGAACATCTGTTAATGACCAACAATTTAGTATTGGAATTCTTTAAAGATTTCCTTCTTTATTAAAATATCTCTTAGATTTTAATCCTTTTTAAGAAAATTATAATGGAAATTTGCCTGTTAATTCTTGAATTTAAGCTAAATGATCGTCATTTTTCAAAAATTTTGCACCTTTTCTGGGTTCAAACAAAAAGTCACCAGTTAATAATTCAAATAACATACAAGCAAAACTCCACAAATCGGCTGTAGCATTATATCTTGTTCCAATTAATACTTCAGGAGATCTATATTATCTAGTCTATATTAAAGTTGAAAATTAATGATGTGTCCAACAGGCATTTCCTAAATCTGCAATTTTCACTGAAAAGTCATTCTTTTGTATTTATTTAAATAAAGATTTCTTATCAATTTAAAATAGGTTATTATTATTTTTATCTATAACATTCTCTTGTTTAATTTAATGTTTTCGTATTTCTTCAGCATTTTCTTTATTTTAAATTTTCAAATTTTCATCTAAATTTTCAATTTCCTGTTGTTTTTATAAATTTTATTATTTTTTCTTTTGCCTTCTCTATAAATTTCTTAATTGATTTTTAGTTAACTATGATTATTCCTATTGCTATTCAGAATTAACTCTTTCAACAGGTTTAATTGAGTCAGTTTTAATTGGTAATGAATTGCCTTCTAATTTGACTGGCTCTTCCTTTTTGATATAAAAGCGAATGGTAAAGTTCCAAACGTTCCTTGAATATCTAGTTGCTTGTTATTTAACCATTTTCAATGATGTCTTTGATCTCTTCTTAAGATAATTGTAGCAACACATTTTCAGGCTTTAAATCTGTATGAATTACCCCACATTATTCATGTAAGAATTCTAACCCAATCAATACTTCTTTTGCTTCAAATCTCTTGATTACTTCTAACAGATTAACTTCCAAGATTTCAAAAACCATACAAAAATGACATCCATATGGTCCTCTATAAACAAAAGAATTTAACAGTTGCACAACGTGACTATCATCTCGATTCAATCTCTGATTGGGTTTATATTATTTTAATTTTTCAAGCCATTTTTGATTTGTAACATTATACGCCACTTTTTATAATATTTCCACTTCATCATAAGCTGCCTCCAAATAATTCTCCGCGGATTTCTATACCTTAATAGCAACATATGTGTCAAATTTAAAATCCTTGCATAACCACACAGTTGACAAATGTAATCTTCTATCCCTTCATCTTCTGAGTCATGTTCATCATCTAATTGATGAAATAATTCCATCTTTTTTGGTTTATACATTGATGGAGTCATGTATTACGATGTAGCCATTTAACAAACTGGTTGAAGCACTTATGACTCAATCAAATTAGAATCTTGTAGGACTTAATAATAAGACTTAGACATCACTGTTGATTAAAAGAGATCACTAGAATACATGTTTTCGTTGTTCATTTTTGAATTTAAATATATTAATTGTAAATAGTTGCTGTTTCTTTTGCAATCAAATTCTAAATGCACGAAATTAAGTAGACCCTCAGGAAATGATTTAATATTGTTGTGAGCAAGATAAAACTAATTTAAATTAATTAGTAGACCTAATCATTTTGATTAATATATATACAAGCAATTCACCATTAGTTTAAATAGAGAATATATCAATTAATAACATCAAAAAGCTATAATTTTTATAATTTGATGATAAGAAAAAATTCTATTTAATTTGTTAGATTTAATTTTAAAATATATAAAAGAAAATAAAAAACACTTGAAATTTGTCAATTCAGAGAGAGAATATAATTGTTTAAGAGGGGAGAAATGTTATAAATATATCGTTGAATGCTGTCCCTCTACATTAATTAAATATGTTAAATTTTCATTTATTATTAAAAATGGTTTTAAAGTTTGAATTATTGATCAAATTAGGTTGAGTATTTTGAATTATATTGATTGCATGAGTCATTTTAGTCTTTCCCAATCTAGTTTTACTATAAAATTGTTCTCGAGGTTTGCTATGCTGTTATTTTTAGAAATTATTGAGAACTTTACTAATATTTTTATCTTTATGAAAGTGAGAAAATTCTACGTGTTGGTCAAACTGATTTAAATCCTCCTTTTTTTGAATTGAATAAATTCTTGATGAAGATTTTCTAATTATGATTCTTAATATTTCTGTTGAGATTTATCTTCCTTTTTAATAAGGCTTTTATACACAAACCGTTTCATTCTTGGAGTATCTCCATTACTATTACTATTTAATTATAATTTTTGAATGACTTTGAGGGATTTTAGTTTATCATCTTCTAGAGTTTACTATTTAGTTTAAAAATCGACATATCCATACCTTTTCAAAATAGATTCATTCATTCCTTCACTCAATGTTTCATTATCACACATGTAATCTATTGCTGAAGTTATATTGAGCTGCAAATCTTCAAAAGTTTTCCTTTTTTCTTCTATTTTCTTTTATTTTAATAACGAGGTTAGACAATAGAATCGCTTTGGTCTAAGAAAATCACTATAAATTTAATAACTATTTTTAAATTCTGAGATGCAAATAAACGGCTTTTCAAAATATTTTGATAGACAAAAATAAATTGAAATAATTGTTTATAAATTGAATTTGAAATTATGTAAAAATGAATAATATTTAATTTATTATATTGTGATTTTATTATATTATGTACTTTCTAATGTTTAAAATTAATTTCATTCTTCTGATTTCATTTTGCTAATTAAATTAGTGAAAGGGTCATTGATATCATTGGATTCACTTCTTGTAAATAAAATCTATTATTGTCTCACCAAAGTTAACTTGAATTCTCTTGGGTCTGACAAACCACTAGATGATGGATTTTGTGAAACTAAAATAGATAAAAATCTAATAAATTACATTTCTATCTTTCTATACTACTAAGTTTTGATCTCACTACAGAGAGATGCTTCTTTATTTTTTTAAATCTCTCAAGCATTATCTTTCTCCTTTAACCTTTGTTTACAAGCCAACTATCCAAAGATGGATATTATTTTAATTTTGATTTTAGTTTTTCTCTCATAAAATCCTTGATCTTGTCTATTAACTCCTCCATAGATTATAAATATCCATTTATTAAACTTTAAATAAAGGTAATCAATAAATAGATATTTGTTATAATTATAGATAATATAACAATAGTAGAAAAACTACTTGTTAATGATAATGAAAGAACTGCAAATAAGGTAAAAATGCATAAAAAAGTACTATTTTATTCTAATTAATTTAAAGTTTTTGTCTTGAAAGGTAAAACTATTTAGTTTGCAAATAAATAGGCAAATTTTATAATAAATAAAAGCGTGCATTTAATAACCATATTATCTTGGTAAAATGTAATTGCAATCATTATCAACTCTCTACTGACAATCCTAATTATTTCCCAATAATAGGCTTTATGCTAATATTCTAAATATAAGTATCCCCATTATCTTCTCACATCGTATTTTTAAAGTGAATTTTTATATTTTGTTAAGTATATTATAAATATTCCTGGTACTGTAGCTCCAATGATGATTATTAGTAAGATAAGATAAGGAATCCATTATTGATGAAGTGATGTATTAAATTAATAAGCCAAGTCGCCTTGGATCCATTTTATGCCTGATAATGTCCTAAATGATAATGAAGATATTAATAATTAAATCACCTATATTTAGTAATAGCAAAACAAATATAAGACACAAGTTTTTGGTATTACTTCATTATAAACAATCTTCTTTAAGGATTTCAATAAGAAGTATATAGATAAGTAGATCCATCCATAAAAAAGTGGACAAATAATACTATATATTATTTTCACATATATGAGTCCCTCTTAAAAATTCTAAGCTAAAAAGCAATCTGTGGTTACTAATAACATTGTTTAAGAGTTCCCAGTAATATTATAATAATCCTTAAATACTTATGGAATTTCAACATTAAAATTTATTATGATGGCCAAGATTTGTAAATAATTTGTAAGCATTTTCATAAGTGGACCAGTTTGTTTATTATTGTTAATTATTAATTGTCTTGATCCTACTTTATTTTTCTATAATTCTAATATCAATTTCTCAACTCCATTTGTTGATAAATAGATTGAAAGTAAATTCCTAAATAAATAAAAATAAAATACCATAAGGCTATCAATATTATATAAATAATTTGTTTATCCAAATCGTCACACTTTTAACATTAATATAATTTCTTAAGACTATATTAACCATTTCCTCTAATATTGTATTAATCACAAGCTTCACAACAAGCTCCTAATTAGCCAATTTCACAAGTTTCATCCCCTTATCTCCATCCACCTAAACAGTTCTCAATTTTATTTTAGCAATATTCAAGAATTTCACTATTTATATAGGGTCTCCAATATCCAGATTTTAATTAAAGTTAAGCAGGTGTTATTGAAACTATTGTATCTTCATCCATAAATTAACAGGTTGTTGCATTGATAGTTACTGAATATTATTTCTTGTTTATGTCACATAGATAGCAAGCATTATCAGTTAGATTCTTATATTCTCCTAATTGACATGGATATGTTTGAATTTATAAAATTAATTAATATTTAGAATTGTAATCCATTATCTAATAAGGAAAAGTATCTTCATAATTTGGGGATTTAGACACTATTACAACTTATTTATAAGATTAGTCTAAATTCATTATTCTCAGTTCCGTAATAAATAATTAAATCATCTAAATTATAATCTTATGTTTCTTAATCAAAAGCTTTTCTATTATAATTTGTATAATTATTTGTAAAATTGACTTCTTAGGAGCCATACTAGTATCCACTTTCAATTAAACATTCACTATTATTAATGTGAAATTGTTATTCGTGATATGCATTTAAAGCTAAAACTCTGAATTTTAAATGTTAATGCTAGTATTCTTATTTATTTATATCAAAATACTAATATGTTTAAATTTATTAGCCACTCGGCAATTTTAAGACTAATAATTCTGATCGATTTGATTAATTAGTTAAGTAAGCATTAATCTACCCATTGTTCAAAATGTGTAAGGTTGAAAATAACACACTTTTGTATAATATTGTAAGTTAAGTTGAGTGAGATGAACTAATGTTACCATATCCATATGCAGTGTTATTATTGAAATAGTTAAATGTTCTATTTAATTCAGGTAAACTTTGATTCCCTAGATATATTGCACCTCCTTCTTATGCTGTATTTGACACTATAAGATTATTTTGAAATAAAAGATTTGTAATTTCTCCATCATAATATATACTTCCTCCTTATCGAATTGCTAGATTTTCACTTAAAATACTATTTGTTATTTTAAGACCAACTTATTTGCTAACTATGCATCCTCCTTTCTCTGCCTAATTTCTATAGCAAAACATATTGTCTAGTGATAACTTAGACATTATCTTTTTTTCTTAACTTTATAACTCTTACACGAAGCATAAGCATCCATTTTGACCACATAAATTATCCATTAACCATATATTTGATAAAATAATTTTGTCTGATTGCAACTCAATTAATTTAATAAAAATAAGTCCTTATTAACAAAATTTACACTAATTGTTTGAAAATTAGCTAGATTTAATTGATATTGAATCCTTATTTTTGACATTTGTAATTTAAACTAAATTATCAATCTATTTTTAGGGTTCAACTATAAAATCTAATAAATTTATTAATTCATAAGTAGAATTCTTAAATTTTAATATTTATTCATTTCGACAATCTTATGACAATTTTAACTAATCATCAATTATATACTTAATTTAGGTTGATTCCAATTTTGGATCATCTTTGTACCATTTAAAGTTTTTGATTTTAAGACCAGTAATTTCGATATTGCTTTGCTGATCTATATAATATAATATTTTTATAATACCTTCAGAAAAGCTAATTTACATTATGGAATTCTAGTAATAAAATGAATAGTCTATTTCGATTGATGTCAAACTAACTTTGCTTTGATAATTCAACTATAAGAATATATTTAAATATAACTGAACGAATAAATGTCTTAAAACAAGATATCCTTATTACATTGAAATCAAAGTAGTTTCATAATTTTAAAATAAACTAAACAAAGACCTAAATTTGGAATAACCCTCTATTGTTTATAAAATTCTGCAATTCTACATATAGAGTTATTAATTGTAGTTTAGGAAGTTAAGTTTGGCAATATTACCATCGTTTGAAAAGACATCCTAAAATGTCACATTAGTGAAATTGAAGTTAATTTATTAGGCAATTGGTTTCAGATATATAACACCACCTTCAGCAGTTCCAATAATTGTATCATAAATAGAATCTAATATATCAATTTAGATATTAATGCTTCCATCAATAACATACAGGCAACCACCAAATGATTATTCTTCAGATATTTTAGTGTAGATATTTTTAAATACAGAATTTCTGACGAGTAAATATCCTTCATTTTCTAATGTAATTTTAAAACATCCTGCAGATGTTGAAAAACTACCTTCAATATTTGTGTTTCTAAATTACACTGAGGAAGATATTAGTTAACCATTTCCACTTGTGGATAGCACTTAAAATTAATTTTTGATTTATTCTAATGTTAAAGTATAAGGTTGATATTTCCAATTTATGTGCTTCAAAAAGCTATCACCAATCTAATTATTTGAAGCAAAAGATGAATCAATTAGATTAACTTATTCAGCATTTATATATAATAAACTATTTTCACTTTAAGAGACATAATTTTGGTTAAACTAGCAATTGATCAACTATATTTTCGAATTTTATGCAATTATATAGAATATTAAAGCTGAGTCAGACTCAGATTCTTTATAGTATGAATAGTAAATGTTATTATTAAATTTAGAATTTAGAATTTAGATATCTTATTATTATTCTGATTATATAAGAATTCCAGATATCTAATTAATAGTCTATCTCTTTTAGATGATGCAATTATCTAAATTCATGGAATCTATAACAATAGATTCAGATCTTCTAATAATTTAGGTTGCAATAGAGATTATGTAGATCATAGGGAAATCCAAAAGAATAAGATTAGATACATAAAAGTTTTATATTTTAATATTTTATGCCTTTTAAATGATCAAAGTAGATGTATATTTCGAATATGGATTAAGTTATGAACATTATTCATCTGCAATAATGCTTTTAAAGAAGTACTTTGAGTTTAATGAAATAGTAAAATTTGAAAGTACTAAGTTAATGGCTGAAGATAGTAAAAATTCTGTAATACCAATTGATCTGATGATTTTAATATCAGATATTTCAATTATGTTGGATTATATTAGAATAATAGAGGAAATTGACTATAAATTGGAAACCAATTAAATATTATCATAAAGAGTGATTGTATCTAAAATAATATTTGACATCTTAACAGTACTAGTCAAATCATTTGATACTAAATTTATAAGAATTGTTTTATCGTCGTGTTAAATCTAATTAACTTCAATATTCTCAAAAATGATAGATTGAAACTAGTAATCTTAAACAAAATTAATAATTGAGCTATTCTTTAAACTACAAAACTTAATTTAATAGTCCTTATTAATTTATTCATTTGTTGTTTAAAATAGAATGAAATTTTAGAATGTTGAATTTGTTAAAGAGATTCTGCTTATAATTAAACTTTTATAACAAAAAGTCTAGAATAAAGGCTGAATATTAGATAACAAGGAGAAAACGATCGATATTTATGATATAGATCCTTACATAACTAGATATTAGTTATTTTTAATTTTCATAAATGAGCTAGAATAAAGATTGGAATTTATGATTAGAATGTTATTAATATAACAATTTGTAGTTTTTTAAAAGTAATTATCAAGTAAAATGATATTTGAATTATGCATCTTTGAATTTTGAATAGTAAATTGATCAATATTAATGTTAATATATTATTATTAAACAGAATATTCGAAGTAAAACAAACCAGCCACAGTTTGAAGATTTATATTCTGTAGAGACAAGTTTTAAATTTCTAATTGCTAGAGATTTGTGGATATAATAGTAAATGCTATTGGATTTAAATCTTCTTAATATTATTGTATAACTACTGAATTAAATAGTACTTTCAAAGCACTTAAAGATTATAAATGAATATTGACAGTTGATTACAACTAAATTATTAGATTTTATATTGAAATAGATTCGAAATTCAATACTTCTAGATTTGAGTTAAGGAATAATGTGTTACCATTGCCAAGTAGTTTAATTTTAGCTGAAGTGACAAAATAGATGTTTTAAATTAAAGTAGTGAAAATGTAAGAGTGGAATTCTATAGAACAATCTTAAATAAATCTAAATTCTAATTCAACTTCTTAAATCTGTTAGACACTTAGAAATGTGTACAAATTAAGATTTTCTATTCTTCCAAAGTTGCTTTAAGATTTATTATTGGTTATTAATTCATCAATTTTAACATTTTACTGTCGAAAATGCTATTTGTCAAATGCCAATTCTAGATGCTAATTAAAGAGCTCTAAGTTACAATAAAGGTTGAATTTTAATGTAATTGAATTAGGGTCTGTTCCAGTTACACTTTACTTGAAGAATTATTAAAATTTAGTGTCATAATAATAGTCTTATAAGCTTAACTAAGATTATAACATTAAACAAGTATGTGTAGTAGATTAGACATTATTATTTGAGAAATATGGATTAGCACTTAATAATTAAGAATTAGTTTTAGGTTTACAAATCTGACAATACCTTGGACAATCAATGCATTCGCCATCATATAAAGACAGACGTCGACCTTCATACATCTTACATTTAACACAGTTATTTTATCCGTTTCTTTTTATACAGAGTTCACAATTTTCTGGACATTTCTTGATACATTTATCTTAGTAAAATTCAAAATCTACTGTGCAAGTCTTACAAACAACTTCTAATTTATCATATGGTTCATTTCCGAATATATCATTATAGAATGTTCCTCGTTTCATCATGTAATGGACTATAGCATACCTAATTTTCCAACCATTCTTCCATTACTTTGATCGCTATTCACATTTATAACAATTCAGCTCTGATAGACATGCAATGCACTAACCAGAAGCTAATTCAGCATAATATCCAGGATAGCATTACAAACATATATTATAGAAACAGTAAGCACAATTAAGAAAAATACTTTCACAACCGTTTGAAATTGAAGCAATCAATTTTAATTCTTTTTTGTAAACCATACATTAGTACTATAATTGGTTTAATTGCAAAGATTCATACACCTCCATTTAGTACATTTGGGTACAATATTGTTTATTTTGAATATTGTCAGGGAATTGAATCTATTCTAATACATTATCCTGAAAGTAACGAAGCATAACCTTCTGCACACAAAGCACAATAATTAATATGATATTTAGAATTAAAATCTCCTTTTTCATACATATGAAATAAAGTATTTACTTTATTTCTCCTATACCAGGATTTATGAAATTAGATCGCATATATGCAATTAGGATCTAGATTTTGAATACAATCAACTGCATTAATTGATAAATAATATTTTTAATTATCTATGCAATTAATGCATCTATTATAATAAAATCCATCTTTCGGATTTTTAACATATATGCATTCTAAGCAATATTTACTACACGGGTAACATTATCCTTCAAATACTGAGTATTATTCTAGGCATTTAATGCATTGAACACCAGATAAATATTCACATTCTAAACAATCTTTTGGACATTCGAGACATTCATTATTAAGAGGATTCAAAGTCAAAAGATCATAGCAAGAAGTGCAAACAGAAAAATCTTCACAAGTCTTACAATTAGAATGACACACAACACATTCTCCATTTTTATAATAGAATTGCGATTGGCATTAAATATATACCTGTAACAAAGTTTGAAAATGACAATTTGAATCAATATTTTAATTACAAAAAGATTTGCATCCAACACACAATGTAAGAGAAGATGTTGACGTATCAAGAAAATATATTTCAACATCTTTATCTTCTCTCTAAATTAATTCATATTGACCATAACTATTAAAAATAGAATCGGATTCACATTTCAATAGTTTAGAAAATGTTTCTGGTTAAGTCAAACATTCTATGCAACTTATCTTTTCCAATTAAATTTCATTAAATTAAGGACATAGTATATAAATTACTTCATTATCGACTTCTTTAATTGGAAAATAACCAAATTAAGATACAGTTTAATTTTTTGCATTGTAATCTTATATAGATGTGGGATAGAAATCCAAGAATTCTAATTTAAGATATATGTATTACATATGCATTTACCAATATTACTTTCAATATAGCCTAGACTGCATTTACAATAACTATTTTCTAGATATCTATTAGAGTTCTAATTACAATTTATGCATTAATTAAGATATGGACCATTGCAATCTTAACAACTAAAGTGGCACTCTTTTATAATCAAAAATAACCATACTCTTCAGGAGAACAAAAGGCTCAGGTAAGCAAACAGTAATCTTACTGCTCTCACTTGTTACAAATATTCCATTAATCGAGCCATCTATCATAATTCCACTTCTTATTTATAATTAACTTCCATCGAAAGGATATGTTCTATTATGATATTGAGCTTCATAGACATCCCCATCATTGAACCACATTTTCAAATTTTAAACTGGCACTTATGTTTAATCAAAACCATACAGAATGGAAACATAATGCCATTATCTTAAATCTTATTTTAAATTATGGAAAGCAATTTCGCTTTTATCTAGAAATTGACCCTGATAGAGTTATAATTCTGGAGTTATCTGATTGAGGGTTTAGAAATACACTCCATTTGCTAAGTCACTTGTCCATGCTTAAAGTAAACAATACTATAAATCAACTAGCTTGTAGTAGATCTTAGTATCTAACTCAAAAAATATTTCAATTCCAAAAACACTAGTTGATATGTTTATATTCTATTATAAAAGATAATATTACAAGAATATAATCAATCTTCACCCAAGATTCAAGTTAAATCAATCCAAATTGGTATTTATAATTTGATATTAAAAACGTATCATAAGTTGAAGTCTAACAAAATGGTTTAGGTGTAAATTTTTCTTCAATAAAATTTTTAAATTCTTAAACTGTGTTAAAAACTACATTATTTTTATCGAAATTATACTCTGCTTTCGAAATTCTGCCAGGATATTGAGCAAATTGTTTTGATTCATCATTTTAATTTAATTATAATTTAAATTCTCCTCCTTGAGTAATTATTGTCTCCTTCAATTCTAAATTAGTACTTGATTAATAGTTTATGATTTGACAATTATCATTCAGAATATCATACATAATTATTTATCTTTAATAAGGAAATTAATATGAAACAAATATATGAATCCATTTGCCTTAAAAATCGAATGAGTCAAATATGAATTTTGCTAATTGGATCATTTAGCTATTTGATTCATATTATAAAAATAAATATTATTCCTAATTTGCATTTTTGTTTTTCAAATCTTAATACAAAAATACCCTATACTTAGAAGTATCAGGATTTATCTCCCTTATTAATAGAAACCCTTCAGGATTAGGTAATTTTACTAAATCATCTATAAGAAAAATGTTCCAGGGTAAATATTAGAACCAGAAGCCATATCCATACGCTGAATAATCTAAGAGTGATATTCTAGTTGTCTCGGTTGTGTCACCTAGAAGGCATCCTTGCAATGTAGTTGAATCACACTCGATAGAAGGTCTAATTAATCCTATCAATATGATCCTGGCTATCCATATATAAAGATCAATCATTTTATTAAAATAAAAATTATTAAAATATGTCCTAATAATTTGGATTTTTCAATCAAAATCATAACGTCTCATTCTTTTCTTGTGAGCTTTAAAATTCTTTTTTAATTGATAGTTATGTTTTGCCTGACTGTTTTAAAAAAGCTCTTAGTAATTAAAATCGGTTTTTTCTTAGTTTTATGGAACAGTTTGATTGAGATTAAAATATGTTATACTTGATAAATATCTTATTCAATTATCCTAAACTTTCAAATATTTTAAAGAATATTCTTCTTATATGTTAGGAATTCAACTTCCATAAATGGAGGATTATAAATACTCCAACTAAAATAAATATAGAATTTATTATAATCAAAATTATATTTTTAAACATGGAACCTTAGCTTTCCTATACTGAAAATAGTGTGCAAGATAGTAAGATTATGATACTGATAATATTTAACTAACTTTCAAATCTATTCATTTATTTATGATAATAGATTTTATTGTCTTAACAGAGTTTAGTATAAATTATTAATAGAGAAAAGGAGAATGCTCCTTTTATTGTAGCATTTGCATCAATCATTGTAATTATACATATTAATCCATCAACCAATAAGAATTTATAAAATTCCCAATGTTGATGATCATTTTAGTAAGATGTAAACCAAAATCCAAAGTTTTTAAAAGGAATAGGCTTTGATAAAAATAAGTTTGACTTTGACTTTTGTAGTAATAAATAAGGTAAAATAATCGCCAGACAGATCACAAAAGGTAAAAATAAAAAAAATACTAATTTAAGATGATTTGTATTTGTGTAATCATAGGAAATATTTTTGTAAATACAATACACATCTTAAATATCTCTAAAAGCTATAAGTTGAATCATCGATCGTATAAAACTTCCAACAACAAAGATATATATTAAATAGATGAAATTAAATAATTCCATCTATGTAATTCTTTGTTTCGACATTAAAGTCTTCAAAAAACAAAAACAAACATAAATAGCCATCATTATTATCATGCATATACAATTTTATAAGATTTATAAGTAAAGCACACTAACTTCTAAGTCTAATAGTTAACATATATTATATATTTCTAAAAATGTAAAAGGATCTCCTAGAAAATGAATTAAATATTAGACTTAATCAGAAAATACAGAAGATAGTTCTTAAGTAAAACTGATAATTTGAAAATAGAACAGTATAATCTTTATACTCTACCCCATAAGTGCTTCCTCTTACTTAAAAATACCTTATCTGAAAGGTACTTTAAACTGATTAATATTCGAACGAATAAATTAAAGTCTTTTATTAGACAAATAATTAATTATTAGAAGTAGGCATGCAAATCTTAAATTAATAACATTTTTACATTAAAATTGTGATCAAGAAATTAAATAGCTATAGTTTGGTATCATTTTAGCAAATTTAACATTCGAAAAATCCCTCTCTTTAGTAATTTCCTCCTCCTCTCTCATTATAATAATCACATTATTCACAAAGAGCCCCTATATAACCCTATTAGCATAGATCATTTCCAACTCCCCATCCTCCTATACAATTTTGCTGATTATTTAAGCACAAGTCAATGGTTGAAGTAGTCACCTTCATTCTCCAATAACCCTAAATATAATAAGATGATTAGAATACCTATTTTAAGAATATTTAAGCTTAAGTTATTTCCTAAATCTTTTGATCATCAGCAGTTTGGCAACTAGTAGCTCCTACAATTACAGAGTATTATTTCTAATCTACAATGCATTAGTGACAATAATCCTCTTTTGATTAACTGTATTCTCCCATTTAACATTCATTAGGCTTAATCAATAAACTCAAAACATAGTTTTAGTGATATCTAATTTAAAATATAATTATACCCTTCTATTATATGGTTTTTATTGTTTATTACTGGAATATAAATACTATTACATTTAATCAAAAGTTCAAAGGGTTGATTTGAATCTGAAGGTATGTAAAAGATTAAATCATCTAAATTATATGAAAATGTTGATTCATTAAAGTAAATTTTATTTTTATTTAAAGATAAATTTTGTTCTTATCTAGTGTTTACATTATTTATTTGTAATTCACAATAGGTATTTGTAAGATTTCTAACCATTTCTAATTATGAATTAACTGCATATAATCTCATCTACATAGTTTTTTAATTGTAACTATTTTTTTCTATTTCAAATTTTTTGTATTCTGATAATGGCATTCCAGTAGGGATATGAATAATTGATATTTATCCTGATTTACTAATGATTTAAGACTTTTAACTATTTTTAGAATTTTATACAATAGTTGGTTTTATTATTTCGTCTTGAAAAATTTACAAATAAAGCTATTAAGGTTGTTCATCAATTTGATTCAATCCATAATTGTCAATCAACTCGATTCCTTTTATATTTCTATTCAAGTTGTTTTCACTATAGATGCCACTTCCAAATTAAGCTGAATTATTTGTAATAACTAAATTCTCTGAAATTAATGTTAAATTAATCCCTTTTGTAAAAATGGCCCCTCCATATATTGCATTGTTACCAGATATCAAACTTTCTATAATTGAAATGACTTAATTTTAGATGAACAAGCAACCTCCGTATTAAGCTTAATTGTTGATGCATTACAAATATTGTATTCTAATTGCAGAATTAGCTAAAGAGCTATTAAAATCTTAACTTTAAAGAATACGGTTATCTTATGAAATGAAAGAAATGCAACCATTTTTCCCACAATACGAATTAGATATAGCCATTTTTTAAATAATTAGGGATGGTTTGTTTCTAATATCAAAACTCAATAGACCATTTGAGCACTTGCTGCACTTGTTATTTTAGAGAATTATATCAGAAAGTTGTATTTTTTGATATTGATATTATTCTGTAAATTAAAATGATATCATAGTCACTGTTGATTATTATATCTAAGATAATAACGTTTATAAAAATGTTATTTGATTAATATTATAGTAACTTTCATTAAAACTTATAATAATTAAAGGAGCGTCTATTAAATTTTCTTTACAAGATGTTATTACACTATTATTTAAAATTTTTGCATAGACTTTTTAGGGAATATCGTCTTCACTTATTTAAATTTAAGTGCAGTTGTAAAACTCTACATTTTGAAGAATTATTTCGTCAGACTATCTTACTGGAGAAAATAGCATTAATTGATTCGAATAAATAATATTTTGTATTGAAATATTCTTGAGGTTTGCACTTCCATATAATTAGAATAAGGGTATAGGTAGATAATTTGTTACATATAAATCTCTTGTTTTAAATTAACAATCATAGCAATGGATCAGTGAATATTCTTATGTCAAAGTTGTGAATTCATTATTTGATAGATCCTGCAAAGAATTGATGAATGCATAAAATGAATCCAATCTTTAAGATAAATTACATTAATTCATCTAAATAACTTGTAATTCATGGATAGATTTTTCTATGTATATTAGCCCTCCTTAAATTGAAAAAATGTTCTCAAATGTGGAGTTAAGTAAGGAGATCTAAAATAATTTTGTTGAAGGTATAATATAAAATATACTGCCACCCTTTCTGGAGGAAATATCTAGAAATATTGTATTAATAACATCAATTCTTAAATATAATGATTAAGATTAGATATGAAAAGCTCCTCCTTATGATGATTCTATTAATTCAGCTTGTAAATTTTCAAAGTGTGAATTTTAAATCTGTAAGTTTCCATCTTCAATCATTTTCATTACAAATGCAGCACCTTAGATTGAGATGGAATCTTATAATAAAATCTTGTTCAATACAATTTATCGGCCTTAAAAATTTCCATTTCCTCCTCTGCTAGAACTAATATACAATTTCTATAAGTCTTCTAAAAAGATATCTTCTGGTAAACCCCATCTGAGGAATTGCTTTATAGTATCATAGACAAATGCTGAATTCTGAAAAAACTTTGTGTTTTCTAAAATAATTTAGTCAGAGTCAATATACATAAGTGATCCTTGACCATTCAAAATCATATTGTTTTGAATTAAGCAATTACTAATTGCACTTTTGGCTTGATGTGCTTCCACTAATAAAATCAGGCTTTGTTTTTAAGGATTGCTTTTTTTTAATAAATTTAATAAATTCTACAAGAATATAACTCCTGTTATATTCAAACTCAGATCATAATTAGTATTAATTGATATTAAAGATACTTTTTCATATTTATTTACTTGATGTAAAATGTTAGAGGAAAAATTGCAATTGATAAATACAAATTATGAGCTAATTTATGAAAGCATTTGAATTTCAAATAAAACTGAATCATATAATATAATATCAGTGATATTTGTATTTGAAACATAAGTAAATTAGCTATTTTATAAATTCATAAGGGTATTGTACATGAACTAATTGAATAGTTGTATATTACATTCTTAATTATTAAATAGACTTTTAAAATAATACTTTTCATGCAATATTATTACAGAGTTTAAAAATTTAAAGGTATTCGCATTCTTAATAGTAAATTCAGAGTAGCCTATTCCTCTCTGAATCATCAAAGTATCAAAAATAACAGTATTAGATTCAATGTTGATTATGGACAATTCAATGTTCTTATCAAGAGAATCTTTTTACTTATCAATATTAATAGCATTGTTGATAAATTCTATATTATTAAGATATACAGAATCTGAATTCAATAATAGGATTAAAGCATTTTTATTTGAATAAACATTCTCTATGAACTTACCATTTTTAATTTATATTAATTCAAGAAATTCTTAGTTTTAATTGATTAGAAATGTGGATTATCCTAAAAATGAGAGTTTATATAAATTGAATTCTATCAAAAACAGAATTTTAGAACTTGATATAAAATTTGAATTTTGTAAAGTTGAATCTAAAATTGAGAATCCATTTAATTCAGCTCTGTAAATTTACTCGAAATTAAAGAAATTTGTGGTATTTAATAGAATTGAATTTTCAAAAATAAAATTATCTATCCTTAAAATTTCAGTTGAATATAAAAACTCCAAAACAA